CTTAATAGTCATCGTTAGCTAAGACTTAGAACCTGCTAAACACTGTCATGTGATAGCCACCAAAGGTTTTAGAACTATATGGTTAATACCTAGGGCTATTATCTATGTTGATGCTAAAACCTTTTGGACTTTGCATACCGTATTTGTGCGTCGTAAACTCGAGCACTGCATACAAGCAGCTACCCTATACATAGAACAAGACAGTGAGTTGTTGAAAAGGGTTCAAAGAATCGCAACAAGGCTGATTTCTTGAATAGCAAAGGTCCAATATCATGCTCGACTGAATAAACTAAACCTATTTCCATAGTCTTATGGAAGAACCAGAGGCGAATTGATTACAGTTTTCGAATTGCTTAGTGATAAATTTGCATATGATATATCCTCATTTTTCTTGCCTTGCAAAAGAGAGAATTTACAAGGATATTCTAAAAAAAGTTCACAAGCCTAGAACAAATCACTTGTCAGATGATTATCAACTTTCCCATAGAATCATGAACGAATGGAATTCATTAATTCAACATGTGATTGAAGTTCTATTTGTCGTCCCTTTCAAAAGAAAGTTAAATCAACTGAGAGATCACCATTAACACAGGCTACCTAGCCTCCTGTCCCTTCAAAACTGAATGCGAAACTGTGACAGGCTCATACAAAACTTTTCTGCAAAGATAAGAAGGGCCTTTGCCACTGTAGGTCAGTTGGGTATACGCGTAATAATTGTTTTATACATGGCTTATCTCTATAACCGGCCCGTGGATTTTTTCAAGTTCATAAGATTGTGCTCAAACACATTCCAACAAATGAGCTTGTGGTGACATTAGTTCCTGACTATACGACCTTTGTAGCCTAGCATATAAATGCTGGAAAATTTTATATTCAACAACTAACACAAAGAGAAGGTCAACAATGGTGTACGCGGGAACATTCAATACACTCTGTTGGCACGGGGTGGCTCAGTCTTGCAGGCGTGGTCATTCTTGCGTAACCCATAAATTTACACATTAAATATATCATTCCATGCTCAGCTAAAATATGTTCCTCCTAAGTGCTAAGGGCTATATTGTTGTCACGATACAATGAGTCAGTGTGGACGATGATGTAACTTCCGCGAAAGGCAGTCACATCATGATAAATCCATAATTTCGAAATTATGTATATTGTTACAACAGTACTAATAACGAACTAGACCCTAATTATACAAGCCTCCAAATATGGCGTATAATGCACCAACCAACCTGGAAGAAGGACGGTTAACAACAACTATGGTCTAATGGATGAATTACGTCTAACATTTCGGTCATCTTAACTAAGTTACTCTAGGTCTTGAGAGACGTTTTTCCAACCACAGTTCAGGTTTCTCACTTAAAACGCAAAAACTACATTTATAACTAGTAGTTACACAATCGTAAGGAGAGATTAACACGTTTACTCATTGATGACCATCCTGTTTTAAAGTTATTCGGAACTAAGCTGTTTTATCTGCGCTCGACACTTTGTAGGATAGTCAAGGCGATGGATAAATCAAATATGTCTCAAACCAAATGATTCACTGATGACTACGTTCGAAAGTTCCTAAGTCATTTATATTTAGGGTAGGATTAAGTGAACAAAATACAGCTTTAGGACTTCTCAAAATGCTTCTAATATGAAAAAGAATTACCTATATGCCATCGTTTACCGGTTGATAGATTACAACTAAGTGAACTGTAGAGGTAAGTTAACCCTTGAAATAAGCGGTTTCGTAAGCCTTCGTTAATGATATTGACCTCAATAGGCGTTGTGGACGACAGCGTTGTCAAGAACTGAATTTCTGTGACATCTTTTACGCACTTTCCTACAAATAAGTCGCTGTTAATATTGAATTCCTCAGCTGAGTTTGTCTCTTGTTTTATGTAGGTGAAGTTCTGTTCTCTTGTGAGATCTATTTATTTCGTGTTCTGATATTTTTATTTATTTATTTGTTCAATCAGATTGTTTGTTTCAACATTTGTCCTCTTTCCTTCTATGGATTCTAATTTTGCGATTTTCGCCCCACAATCAACAGACCGACCACTTGATAACGTGGTATCGGCAGTCGCAAAACGCAGTAAGATGTGTTAATATGAGATGATTCTTATTATTTCCAATTACGTCGTTAGTGCCATAAAAATCTTTTGATTACGGATAACAGTTAATTGAAATCCATGTAATAACATATAAAGTTTGGTTTTAAACGTCGCAATGGGCGGACGAAATCCAAAAAGCCTGATACGTACCTTACCATCGAGGCGTCAGTGCAAAGAAACCATCTTGTTTGCACCAGCTTATGAAAGTGTGTATTTGGGTCTGGATACTCACAACCTATTGTACTGTGGCAGCTTATTAATCAGTGCCTTAGCGACAACGTCGGTGAAAACACAGATAATATTTTTGAGATGAAAAATAAATTCATTTATCTTCAGAAATTCTTGTTTTTAAAGTGACTAGGTTGAATAGTGTTGATAAGCCGAGAAATGCACTATGTATCCCGTAAGGTGACCGGATCTTTACGTAAAATCTAATTTCGTCATCACGAATTCACGTGCGCTATTAAACCTTTTCTAACTACACGAAATACATAGGTTTTAGTGGTATGGGAGCTTTTAAGCCACCTACTGATAAGTTCGGTTTAATGATGATATGTCTAACTGACGCTAGTATTGAAATGCAATGACTGACTGGTCGGTCAGTGTGAATGGATCGATCGGAGATGAATAGTATAAGTTTAAGTCCACATTCTAGTTCGCAACACCACCGTTTATCCAATGGCCAACATGTAATCTAACATATTGCCATGGGTTATTAAGGAAACTTGGGAGCTGTTGAAGAGTGGGAAACACTTCTAGAACATATTCCTATCGACAGGACACGCATCATTTAAGCATGAATGCAAAAATGCGGAGTATATGTAAAAGAACCATAGCTAAATCCCTTGCTATTTACTGATGACAGCCGGTGTATGATAGCCGTAGTTGTCCGAAACGAATGGTTCCGCATGTTAAACGGCGAACAATACGTGGTGATGGTATTCTGCTGTTACTGTTACACAAAACTTCAGATTTACTATCTGAATCAGATTAGGGAAAAGCTGAGACTTTTTCAAAATATTTTGGTGAAATCTACAAATACTTGTCCCAATCACACCAAGATATCAAGCACAGGGTCTGTACATGTGACCGAGGAATCTATTCTTCTGTTGTAAGGTACCGGTCCACGACTACAGTCATCTCATGCGGACCTTCTTTCAAGACTGCTGGCGACGCTCTTCAACATGCCTCTGCAACTCATCCAACTCCCTAGAGAGTAGAAAGACGCCACAGTCCTATATTTAAGGATGATCAGAGACTACTGGTCAGTCAGTCTAACCAGCATAGTCGTTAAGTTACCTGAAAAAATAGTCACGCAGATCCTCACAATCTTTTTACTTCCAAGCAACATGGGTTTCGTAACAAGCGTCCATGCTCGGCTAACTTAATTATTGTGAGAAAGGATTGGGCAGAAAACCTAGATAACTGTCTGTCTATCAACGTGATATTCATAGATTTTAGCAACACATTTGACAAGATTTCACACTCAGGTCCTTACAGACGCTCTCGAAATTCGGAATGACAGGTGGCGTACAGGAATGGATAGGAAACTTCTTATGTGACCACAGACAGAGAGTGAAGGCTAGTCGCACGCCATCCGAATGGAAGTCGGTCAAAGATGGTGTACCCTAAGACACCATTTTAGGCCCTCTTCTTTTCCTTCTCTACGTTAATGAATCAATGCTATTGCTTAAGTCGTCAACATTATTGTTGGCGGATGATGTCAAAATCTGGAGAACAATAAAAATTGAGGTTGATCATTTTGATCTTCAAGTTGACTTAGACGAATTAGTTAGATGGGCTCGAGGTTGGGGCCCGGAAGTTATTTCTAGGAAGACTGTGCTCATGCGAATCGGACAGTGATAGTTACCATTATATTATTGGTGGTACATATCTTTAACGCGTTAAGGGACTTAAAAAAATAGGAGTGATAGTAAGTCATGACTCGAAAACAACTACTATTTGCGACGCAGCTGGTGCCAAAGGTTTCCGCGCATTATGGTCATTTCGCCGAGCACTCAAATGCTTTGACGAGGGAATGTTTCGAATTTTATGTCCCGCCTGCGTAAGACCACACTTAGAGTACTGTATCCAAGCAGCTAGCTCATGTCTGACAAAGGATACTAACTCACTTAAGCGTGTTCAGAGTGTAGGAAAGATGAGCACTTAAAACGAGGTGACCTCATACTGGCAGTTCGTATCTTCACATATGAGTTAGGTGTTAATATGTCTTGTCTTTTTGCTCCCTCCAGCACTAATAATCTCAGAGGTCACAGCAAGCAGGTTCGAAACCCGCGATCTAGTAAACTTAAAGTGGGGTCCCGTTTTTGTCATCTAGTAGTCAATAACTGGAACGCCTTACCCGAATAAGAGGTATCAGCCCCATCAGTGAATACTTTCAAGAAGCTGAACTTTTACTGGAAGGCAAACTGTCAGGATTAACACTGGTTCACCAACCTAATATCTTTATTACTGAAAACTGAAGACATAAGACCATAGTGTTTAACTCGAACATCTATCTATAAATGCTGTTGGAGTAAATGTCTCTGCGAAATAGATATAAATTTTCTGCTTGATTAGTTTCCAACTAACAGCACCCTCTCTATTAAAGGGTACTGATTCGATCGATCAATCATTCAATCAATCAATTAGTCAGTAATCTTAAATCAAAGTTCGTTTCGACCTTACCGTTGGACTTTTACACATTGAACATTACCAAATACTTAAAAATGTACTGAAACAACAATAGAAGAGCGCAAAGAAATCTGTTGGGATGTATAAGCTTGCTACAAAGATATTGAGCTTTGGATATGCTGTCCATTGGATAGTTTGACCGCATAGTTTTTGTCGTCGTTATGATCTACGGAGACAGCGCCCTTTTCAAATAAGCATGTTTCTAGCAAGTCAAACTATCTGTTCCTAACTTCGATTTCAAGATTTTCCTGATTTGAGGATTGATTTATTGCTCATTGTCCATTTTCGTCCTCAGTACGTGTAAGTAAAGTGTATGCACATCCTGGTTCCTTGACTTACCTGTTTTTGTTCTTTTTCCAGCACCTCTAACTCACCATACTCTGAATCCTCCTGTAAAACACAAATTGCATTCTAAATATAAGCGAACTGCCACACGTTTTTTGATAAGGTTGTTTAACAATCACTTCTAGAGCTTTATCTATATTATTATGCGTGCTTGGATTACGGTTAAAATATGTGGTAAACTGACCATTGAACATGCAGTTGTTTGACAATATTACAGCTTGCCTGTTGATTATAATCAGCTTACAGTAGACTGAGGATTGATATAAATACCTATCTGTTGGAAATTTTTTAGGATCATATGAGCAATTGAGTACCTCTGACAAGAAATTTTGGCACTATCCTGGTTGGACTACACCAAAATACAAGGCGACCAAAGCTCCTAACTTTGGGGAAATTTTGGGGTTTTTGTGCCGTTTTCCCAAAGTTTCCCCAAAATTTACTAAAGCGGCTTCCCCAAAATTTCCCCCAAATGGGTCAAATTTTCCCCAAAATTGGGAGCTTGAGGATAGGTCAACTAAAATTCGCTTATCGGGTTTTAATACTATATCTTAGTACTTGTCTGTTGATCTACCATAGGATTCGAAAATGTTGGCCTAGTCTTTAATTGACTCAGGAAACACAACTTTTGGATGCCTCAATGGTATCATTTGGATTTATTGGCAGTTAAGTACTAAATAAAATTTTTACATCTACCCAGTTAGCAACATTTATATCAGTTAGCTTTCACGAGAAAATAATCAATTACTGTATCTTTTTGGACCAAATAGTCTCTATTCGTTCATCTCGCAACTAAAAGTTGGATATTATTGTATGTGATATGGACTTGATGAGGTAAAATCCATTATACCAGCGTACTTTCACATGCTGTCAGGAATTTTTATCGTTCGACATGTGCTCTTGTCTAATAGATGTTTTGCTCGACACTGCCTATTTTCACTGAAGTACTTTCAGTTTGAGGAGGGAAGGCTAGGTGGGTGTGTTCGTCATCATGTTGGAGGTCTTCCATTTGACTCAACCATTTTCTACTAGCATTCAACGAAGTAGCTGTAGCTGATGGTCTCTGCAACTAGTTCTGTTAGTTGATGATTTATTGAAAAGTCGGAGGTTAGCTGATATGGTTGGTTTCAGGCTTTCTTCACTTCTACTGTTCTGGAACTCAAGGAAATGGTGGTCCAGCTTCAATTGACTCATGATCTCAACCATTAAAACTATTGTGATAAATTTTTTAGACAAAGTGTTACGCAATATTTCTACTATTAGCATTCAGTTCACTTAGCAGGTCACAATACTTACTTTTGTGTTTTCTACGATTTTTATAGATTTGTAATAAAAGCAAACAATAGTTATGTAATGTTTGAAATCTGTCAATGAATACTGAAAATAAATCCAAGCTAACATTATCAAATTGTGTTTGTGATATTTGTCAGTGCTTTAATAATAAACTAGAAAATAAACAATATGCTCATGTTAAATGTAAATTGAATGATAAAGTTAAATTATGGAATCGTTACGAAGGAATTGTGAAATTTATTGGTCCTATTCATTTTAAAAGTAATGTTAGTGTTATTCTTGTTGGCATTGAATTAGATTCACATAGTAAGTATTGAGATCAGTATAATTCTTTACACCTTTAATTACTACAAAAATTCTGAATAGTTTCTAGAATTACATTAAATAATTATAATCTCTACTGTGATCAAATGAAACGTATTCTTGTACCAACAACATTTTTTACATTATTATCACCAGGACAACGTGGTTATCCACAAATTAAAGGTTTTAAAATGAATCCAAATTATAAATTAATACAGAAAAATCGTGAACTTTATAAAACTATGTAAGTTGTAATTAGTTGTTTGGTGAGACTATATTTTATAGACGACCATTGAGCAACGCTAAATTGACCCTGAGAGTGTCCATCTAAGAACTAGGACCAAATGAGTGTTGTGAACCTGTATGAGGTATTAGAGTTATGATTTACATTTGATGGTTAGGACTAGAAAGTAGATTTCGAGTTTTTCTTACGAGCTGATATCAGCTATAATGCCAAAACTCTATTTAGCCAAATAGATGAGCGAATTTCACGCTAAAATCCAAGACCTGTTATCTTATATCTGATTGGTTCGTCCATAAATTATAGTCTCCCCGATTTTTTAAAATGAATTAATTCATTATGTTATCATTCATAGTGATCCAATATTGTATCAGTTGAGATTTCGAAGATAAATGGATAAAAGGTACTCATATTGACAGAAAGAGTTTGATAAAGGTAAGAATGAAAGTTTGTTAATGCATTAAATTGGATTTAATAATTGAGATCACGAGCGGATTGAAGCTAGACCACCATGGAAAATGTGGAAGAAATGGATAGCCGTTTCATTCCACTGTTTCTCACTAGAGCTACAGGAAATACCTCTTGAAGTCGATCACTAGTGAGCATATGCTGTCTGTTGTGAGGCAGTAACTCACTGAAGACAATGGCGGACGGCGGCTCGATTTCGTAGATTGGTTAAGGTTAGACATTAACACTGTTGGATGCCGACCGGCTCAGTGGCCTATACGTTAAGCGTTCGCGCGCGAGTACGACAGATCCTGGGTTCGAATCTCGCGGGAGGCGGGATCGTGGATGCGAACTGCCGAGGAGTCCCACAATAGCACAAACCGGCCGTCCAGTGCTTACAGGTTTTCCATGATGGTCTAGCCTCAATCAACTCGTCATATAAACTATTGAAGTTACTATAATATGCACAAAAACCCATTTCCGATATTAAATTTAAGTTTATTTTTTCATACTTGCAAATTCAAAGTTATGTTTAATACTGAAATGAGATGAAAATGGTTCTCAATATTATACAAGAATCGTCAGTTGTTTAGCCTTATTTTTTTAGACTACTTAGTAATACCTACTCATGACTTTACTTTATGATTAAACTCAAGACTTATGGATTATTTTGTCAGGATAATCCAGTGTCTGACGCCTTTAATTTTAGTCAGTATACAAAACATTGTTAATATTATTACATACCTTCTCATTTCCAATATGAATGAATTCCATTGATTGTGATTTCTCTTAAGTACTTCAAGAATCTATCTCAAAGTTAGTTATTAGGATTAGGATAGGTGGCATACAGATAAGATCATAACCAATTAAGAATGATAAAGAAACTAAAATTAAAAATAGGAGAATAGTGCCAAAGTATGACGAAAAGTCTTGAAGAAAATGATACTTTAAATACTATGATTCTTGAGTTAATATCAATGAAATTTCAGAATAACAGCATGTGACTGACTACAATGTTTTTCAATAAAAGTCCAGTACTTAGTCATCGTTTTGGAAGTTGATGTGGATGACTATAAGCTTACTGATTAGTTGCACTACAAAATTCAACTAACATCTTTACTTAAAGTGTTATTAAATTTAAGTCAATTTATTCGGTATAAACTCGTCTACTCTTCATAATTCAAACCATCACGTGTTACGTATGCCTGAACACCAATTGCCAAGACACGCAATGCTGACTAGTGTTGGGAATGGTTGGAAGAAAATTAGGGGCGGTTAAACTAAAATGTGGCATCAGTGCTTGATGAAGGCACTAACTTCTAGTTTGAGCCACGTTGGTAGATGTAGACTACTTGGTTGGGGTCCGCGTGACTTTCGTAACCAGTGGTTGAAGACTCTGGTTGACATGGCCCAAAATCGATCACAATGGCGTCGGTGTATACACTCTTTGTCTTCCATTAAACTATGACATTAAAATGATTTCATATCTTTCTTTCTATGAAATCGTTCTTCCTTTCTGTACTTTATCCTTACATAAAACCTTTTCTTCATATATTACACAATTGAGTTAACTGCTTCTATGAATCCGGTGTTCGTCTTGTTGTGCTAATGAGGTGTGGCAACTTGGACCTATGCATGTATGTGCATGGTCCTACATTGTAACTGACTGACTGATATAAGTAATTAGTAGTTGGGATCCTGTATGACATGTTTTACATTGTATCATGACTTGTTATACATCCTATTAAATTTCATACCATTGTATTACATTATATGGCATAGATTAATGAGTTAATTTTGTACTATTGCGGTGCGTGTTACTTATATCGACATAAGTAGTATATAACGCTAATCAGGAATAGAATGTCTCACAACAGAAGGTCAAGAATATCGAGAAGGAAAGAACGGAAACAGAAAGTAATTAGTATGGAATTGCAGGAACAATGAGGTATGAAACGACTGAATGACATTTTGTAAATGAAGTATTTACTGTATCGTTCTCAGATTTTACTAAAATGTTTTGTAATTTTGTATTAAAATATATTCGATCAGTTGCCATGACATTATCCATTTAGCTACTGAGTCTTGATAGCCACATTCTATTAGTCTTCAGTTGTGTTCTCATTCACTATCCTATAACTTTTATAAGAAAACATTATCCATATTATATTCAGCTTGGTTAATCATATACTTGTAATCTTTCAGTAATATATATTTTTACTGTTGCATAATTTTCTTATGTGTAGATGAAGAATATAATGGAAGGGTCCAAGTGTCATCTGTTCAATATTCCATACTTTAATAATTGAAGCATTATATCATTATAAATGCTATGATATATATATATTATATAAATATATATGATATTAGAAGAATCTGTGATGTTTTATGATCTTGTTTACGTTTGTTTTCTTATGTTAACTACATTTTAAAAAAGAAACCGAAATAATTTAAGTAAGTTAAGGTTTCTTTGTTTAACATCCGGATATCTGTCTTCAATGAGATCGTATAAATGGTTCCTGTCGAAATATATATCTTTATTTGAACACAAATATTGGTACAAAGTGGCACCGAATAGATATGCACCACACAATTCACTTCATTTGTGTGTGGTCTGTGATATTATCTGGGTGCGCAGACTGAAGAAGGTGGTTTTCTTAGGGGTTCACATCCGGAGTCATCGATATAAAGGTCTGATCCACAAGGTAGTGCAGCGACGGGAGGAGATGTAGTCCCATATTAGTCGGTGATCAACAACAGATTCATACGTCGTTTGTTCCTTCAGGATCCTGTAGCCCATGTACATCATTGTTTTGGAATCAGGGTTTTCCAACTCCCCTGGGTGGTTTATCCATATCCAACAACCCGGACATACGCTTTTCGTCCTCTCAATTTCATAAAAACACCCCCGTAGCGAGAAGACAGTGGATACATAGATTTGATTGGTAATTTCAGAACATGGACAGATTAACTCTGTTAATAAATAATTGATATAATAGATTGTCTCTTATTTCTATACAAAATCAGTGATCACTACATTCGACTTCTGTCTCACAATCACTTTTTTCATTTTTATTGTATTTGAATAACATTCCTCTATATTTCGGCTCACATAAAAATTGATGTGATTTTTCCTCTCATTCCTCCAAATGTCCTGGTACGGCCGAGGGCGGGGGGAGTCAGCTTTCCCTCTCCAAATGCTCTCACATAGACACGCGTAAACAGGCACTGTCAGCAAAGTCCTATTCACTATCTTCTCGTGGTATCGCTGCTGTTTGCTAAATTGAGAGGATGAAAAGCGAATATCCGACACCTTAGCTGGGTTGGTGGATACGGATGACCCACCTAGTGGAGTCGATAATCAGTGACCAATAATTGGTTCATACGTCAGTATACTGAAGCCCATGTACACCATTGGTCTGGAATGAGGGTTTTCCAACTCCCCTAGGTAGATCCTCTGTATCTACATACCCGGTTAGAGCGCCTGACATTCGCTTTTCATCGTCTCAATTTCTTAAAGAACAGTGATACCGCGAGAAGGCAGTGATTAGGACTTCCCACTCAGTGATTGTATACGCATGGCCATGTGAGAGCGTTTGGAGAAGAAGAGCTGACTCTCCCTACCTTCGGTCGTGCCAGGGCATTATAGATTTAATTCGCATTAGTGAATAACGGAATTAAAATAAGTCAAATACGAGAAAGCATTACGAATACATATATTTTGTACACTCACTGATCTAGACAGGAAATAAGATGGACGAAGCGAATAGAAGAGAGCGAAGCGAAATGACGCACAATGGAGATGGCTTGTGAGTCAAATTCATTTAATCAAGCGTTAATAAATATTTATAGCCAGATAAAAAATAGGTTACTGATATGTGATGAATAGGATAAGAAGTGTACACACTCATACATACGCTCATGAATAGATTGGTCTGTCCGAAAGGTAGAATAAGTTATAAGGGCTTAATAATAATAACAACCAAAACTACACATCATTTCAAGACAATTTTTGTTATCAAGGTTATCGATTTGTAAACTAGAATGTCTGTTACTATGTCTACTGTAACCCTTACAATTTAAGCTTATATATATTCATTTCTGTATGGCATTAACAGTTATACTGATAAAATAGTTCTAAATTATGACTTCATGATCTCAATCAAAAACTTAACAATCTCCACAACCCCTAAACTGATAATTATCATGTGCTCACTAGTGATTAGCTTCGTGAGAAAATTCTCGGAGTTCTGGTGAGAAGCCATGATCAGTGGAATTGATCCGTGTTGGGTAGAAACAAGTGTCTACCTCAGTACAACGGAAGATGGTCGCGCAATTTCGTGGATTGGTTGATGCTAGAAACTATCACTATTGGATGCCGGCCTGCTCAGTGGTCCAGTAGGTTGAGCGTTCGCGCGCGAGACTGAAGACCCTGGGTTGGAATCCCGTGAGCGGGATCGTGGATGCGTACTGCTGAGAAGTCCCACAATAGGACGAAACGGCCGTTCAGTGCTTCCAGGTTTTCAATGGTGGTCTAACATCAATCGGTTCATGATCTCAATCAAAGACTTTATAATTATTTAATGTCATTTGATATCTAGAAGTTTTTTTGTGGATGATTTTGTTATTGATCTACTATCGATTTCCATTTTGTTTTTAGGCAATCTTATATGATACTGATATCAGTAATGCATGATTGAGATTGTTTATTGATTCATGTAATTCATTATGTTTTTGTTATATCCTGATGAGAATAATGAAGAGTATTAGTTGGGATCTATTTCTAAACTAATTCTATATGTATATTTTTGATTGTATAATGGTTTAGTAGTTAAACTATTCATATTCATGTTCCTCATATTATAAGCTTTATTTTGATCAATGAACTATTATTATAGGACTGGCCGTTCTTGAGTTATGCCTAGTCTATTCATTACTACCTCCCACATTCACAGCCACATTTGGCTAAATCTTGTGCAACTGTTGTTTCCTATTTTATGGTACGATGTGGTCTGTCTGGTTGGTATATAAATCCAGTATGTTTGAAATACATGATTCATATTAAAAAGGCTGAGATTGGTGTTCTGGATGCAACAGGCTAGGCTAGGCGGAAAGCAGGACCAATAAAGACTCTTGACTGCTCGTACGGGTTTACGCGTCATTAGTCCAGTCGATAATTCACTGTTCTCTAATTGGCGGTATCATCACATTATACATTGATAGGGGCACAAACTCACAAGTTATAACAGTTTCATAATGACATTTTCCAGATTTATTAAAATTCATAATCATCAATAAACTGATATCATTTTAAAAGATTCTTGTGAAGACCACGGAACAATGAATAGCTCTTTAAGCCTAGTTTAAGGGTGGCTAAATTTCATTCACAACCATTAAATATTTCAATCGGGATATTATCAATCAGTCCATGGTTTAGATTTCAGTCATTGATTATTTTTTACTTTGAAATGCTTTGTAATATATTGTATGATTCTTGTTTAATATTATAAAGGCATTACTATGGAATTCTCTCCTTGAATAGTCCTATACATGTCATAGTGAACCAGTAATTGAGTACAAGTTAGTGTTATAAGTAATTTCATTTAAATACTTAAGATCATGAGTCGATTGAAGCTAGACCACCATGGAAAACCTGAAAGTACTGGATGGTTGTTTCGTCCTAATGTGAGACTCCTCAGCAGTGCGCATATACGATCCCGCCTCGTGAGATTTGAACCTGTTGTAACGCTATGGCCCACTAGTTATCACGTAATCTATTCGCCAATCAAAATACGACTTATTCACTCTTGTACTGTACTAAACCAATGACGTCGAACCGGTCTGATCAGCCTACCGTCTTATTGGTGCGTTGATCGTTTAACCCATCTAGCTGAGTCCAGAATGTCAATAACAGCCTCCACTATGCGAATCATTTATTTTAGACATACTGGGTTTATATATCAAGCAAACAGACCGCAACGCACCATAAAATAGGAAGTAACATTCATACACAAATAAGCCAAAAAGTGGCTGTGAACGTGGGAGATAGTAATTAATAAACTGAGTATAACTTATGAACAGTAAATCGTACAATAATAATCTATAAGTCAAAATGAAGCTTATAATAAGGGAAATATAGGTATACACAATCTAATTACTGAATAGTTATACCATAAGAATATATAGATAATATTAGTTCATCAATAGGTCTCAGAAGTTATTCGTAATTTAATCTTTGCTAGGATATAACAGAACTCAAGACTTTCAGTCTCACGTGAGAACATTTAACTTATAGGCCAATGAGCTGGCCGGCATCCAACGGTAATATTGTCTAACTTCAATTAATCCACGAAATTGAACGACACATCTACCATTGTCATCAATAAGTTACTATCTTACACCAGACAGAATATGCTCACTAGTAACTGATTTCAAGAGATGATTTTTTAGAGTTCTAGTCTTCAGTGAATTATTATCTTACAACAGATTCAATTGAATTCCATTACTTCCATGTTTTCCATCATAATCTAGCTTCAATGAATTCATAATTTCAATTATTCAAATGAATACAATCTTCATAAAGAAAAACCTCATTCTGGTACTAATTTCATTGAATTAGAATAAACAAACTCACAACGGAATTATACATATGAAGTATTGAAATTACATTGATCAAATAACAATTGAATACAATGAAATAAGTAGTATGTTTATCACATACATAAAATATCATCATTTAATATACATTAGGAACTGCTTATTATTATTATTATTACTATTATTAATGTGTATTGATACTAAACATGATTATTTAGATGGATCTCATTATTGTTATAGGAAAAAAATAATGACCATCTCTGTAATAAAATCAATTGATTAGAGATCAATCAATATTGATTATCAATAAATCATGGAATGTTTCAAAATTTTTTTGGTTCTTAGTATTTTCATTTCATCATTACATAATCATCATTAGTGAATGATCATTTCATTATCTTTGATGAATTCAATTAGTGATAAACATTGTTATATTAGAAAGGAATCTAGTTGAATTAGTTAGATCCAGTTCGATTTGATATGTATAAATAAATATTAATTAAGAAAGTAGATATGAAAGCTTTTCAAAATAAAATGTTGATTATCATAGCAGACTACTGAATAAGAATATAAGTAGTCTAAAAAAATAAAGCAAATATTTAGCATTAGGTTATACATATTTATGTTATATTTGTTCTGTATTAAATTTTTTGAATTTTGGTTTTTGTAAATTGAAATGTGAATTGAGTTTAGCTGTAATAAATTTAAAGAATAAGCCGTATGAATTCAGAGAACGTAGTTTATAACGTGTGTGTAAATATTACAAATAACCAGATTCCAAAGGGTGTGTAGTAAACTCACTATAATATTATCAAATGTATAATGTCACTTGTTTTGTAACGTTGTCATTACCATTGATCACATTCCTACTTACCGATGTAAAAGTTTTATTTTGTTTTAGTTCTATAGTAACAATAGACTTGTTCGTTTACTTAAACTTCAATAATACTTACTTACAACTTTAACCCCCCATGGAGGAGCATAGACCATCCACCAGCACTCTCAATCCCAACATGTGCCGGGCGATCTTTTCCAGCTATTTCCAGTTGTTATTGATCTTTTTAGAATCTGCTTCGAATTCCCAACGTAATGTGTTCTTCGGCATTCCTCTTTTCCACTTCCCTTCAGGATTCCAATTTAGCGCTTGTCTCGTGATACAGTTTGATGATTTTCTCAATGTATATCCTATTCACTTCCAACGTCTTTTCCTAATTTCCTCTTCAGTTGGAAGCTGATTTGTCTTTTCCCACAGTAGGGTGTTGTTGATGGTATCCGGCTAACGGATATTGAGTATCTTGCGTAGACATCTATTTATGAATATTCGTATCTTTTTGATGATGGTTGTAGTAGTTCTCTTAGTTTCAGCTCTGTATAGTAGGGGTGTCTTGACGTTTGTATTGAAGATTGTGACTTTGATGTTGGTTGACAATTAGTTTGAGTTCCATATATTATTCACTTGTAAGGATGATGCCGTTAATTTGCTAATCTTTGCTTTCACATCTTCATCAGATCCTCTTTGTTCATTGATGATGCTGCCAAGGCACGTGATCCAGTGTAATCAGGGAAAGATAAATATAATACCACTAATAGTTGATTGGTAACTTTCCTCGTTCAACCCAGCATAAACTAATTATTATTCAGTCATCTTCAATAATGTAGTTTGTATGAAATGTATTATGTCAAATGCATTTTTCAAAGATAGTTATGTCTATCCACTGGATCTTCTACAATGATTATCCCTAAGCCTAATTAATCAGAAAAATTAGAAAGATAACAGTTTATGTAATAATACCATTTCCAGTGTATTTCATCCTACTTCAGGCTAGTCAGATGGATATATCTGCTAAAGTTGATGGAACAGTGCATGATGCTACTGTTGTGTGCTAGGTTTAAAGAGAATTGTATGCTATATGCATGGAAATCCGCCCCGTTATTGTTCCTTCCTAACATTAGTCTAACATTACTAAATATTCTATCTTTGAATATAGGTGAGAAATTACCTTAATGATGACGTCTCAGACTATAAATTTGTGTAACGCGGAATCAATTGTTTTGGGGATATCAGTTCTTTTAGCATTACAGTTGTAATTTGCCAACAGGTGCTGAGAATCAAGAAACCTAGGTTCGAATTTCCTTGTACACCTGTATCCTTGGTGGGTACGGAGGATCCACCTAGGGGAGTTGGAAAACTCTGATTACAAACCAGTGGCTCACATAGGCCCCAGGATCCTAAGGAAACAAATAGCGTATGAACCGATTGTTGGTCACCAGCTACCATGGAACTGCATCTCCTGTCGTCGCTCCACTGCCTTGTCGGTCAAACCTTTAGGTCGAAGGCTACGGGTTTGGCCCCCTAAGAAAACTATCTGTTTAAGCACCCGGGTAGTATCCCAACCGTCACGTAAATTGAATGATTTATGTGGCTCATATCTATTTGATGCCTCCTAGTATCAATGTTTATGTGTTTAAATAAATAAAAAATAAATATCTGTACGCTAGCTCCAACTATCTTATATCTCAATAAAGTGCACACGGTGTCAATTCGCTGAAGATGGTAGTCACACTGAAGCTTGGTCGATAAAATTCACTCAGCATTAAACGACTTAAACGAACATGGTCAGTGATCAATCAATTAAACGAGAGAAAAGGGTGAGACTATAATTTATGGACAACCTTAAGTGACCTTGGGAACTTTCAGTTAATCAGAAATGTAGTCAGTATAAAGTAAGAATATATTATACAAACAAAAAATTTAGAGTGGACACCCTTCTTTAACATGGTCATAAAACTTTTCAAGGTTAGAAAGAGGCTCTGAAGTTCTGAAATCGTAATGCATACGCTACAGGAACTCATCTATATCACTCCATCATCGACCTCTGAAGGTATGATAAGGTCGTGAACATTCTCTTAGCCTCGACCACATTGCTTCTATATAATTGATGTGTATTCCCATGCTGGAATCTACAAAATGTCGCCCGTGAACAACGATACTGTGCTTGTAACCAAGTCTAGATAGGCATCAGTATGCTCTCCAGTCATCGGTTTATATTGTGGTACTCGGTTACACATACTTTCGTATAATTGGTATTATCGTTGTGGGCTGTCGGTTTCTCACGCGCTAGAAGTGTTCCCTTTTAGATGATATATCATGTATACCAAAGACCTGTTAAGTACACCTAAGTAAGTGCTACTCGTGCCGTCGTCTTTAACACTTTCTTCAGTGAATTCATATTTTTTAATGATTATTTTGTCAATTTCTACGATTCTGCCGATTCCTACAAGTTACTGAATCAAGCTTGTCATTTTTATTGCACATATAAATCGACAGTACACATACTGATAGGAGATTTGTTGGAACTGTAGAAGTTTCACAGTTTAAATCACAAAGTGATTTTAGCTGGACCATTATTGGAAACATGGAAGGGCTGGAAGGTCGTTTCATCATAGTATGGGACTCATTAGTAGTGCGTTCAAGAACCCAGAGCTGGGAATCTAACCCAAGACCTTTGATCTCGCTGGAGAATGCCTAACGTTTGGACCACTGGATGACACAGTGGTGTCCAGCTACAATCAATCCACGATATTGTATAACCCTAAATAATCCACAAACCAATAAACTCCCTAATCAGTTCATATGAGACAGGTTTACTGATTATTCAATCCATTCCGCACGGAAATTTAGTATCACATCAATCCAGCGCTTGAGTAAATAACTTAGTAACTATCACTTGTGAACAAATAACTGGACATAATGAAGATGTATGTAATTTGACAAATATCAAGACAATTTACACACCTAGATTTAAGCAGAGTAAAAGACTTAGCATTGATATTTTAGTGTTATGGAAGTGATTGAGTTTGAAATTTCACCGGCTAACATGGATAGCTGATTTTCAGAGCTCTGAGAGAACCTGACACAGTAATCTAAAGACTAAATGTTACCCATAAGGCTTAAAACTCAACGGTTCTGCCTCTTATGAGGTTGTGGATGAGCAGTGTTGAAGGATATATGCCAGGACCAAAGAGTTAGCCAGTCGTACCTAGTTTTTATTGGTTGACCGTGATATGAAACTTCAACTGTTACTAATCATACCTCATAATTTATCCCTAACTTAATAATTAAATTCGTGAGTCAATTGAAGCTAGACCAACATGGAAAACTTTGGATTACTGGACGGCCATTTCATCCTAGTATCGGACTAGTCAGCAGTGTGCATCCACCATCCTGCCCTCGGGACTCAAACCCAGGACCTGTTAGTCTCGCGCTTGAACCTCTAACCTTAAGACCACTGAGCCGGCTGGCATCCTACGGTGTTGATATCTAACTTCAACCATGCGAACGTTTGAGTTTGTTCGACATCATAATTTTATAACTACAATGTAAAATCTGAAATTTTGCTCTTAGATAAGCATTCTACTCTCAATACAAACACACAGAAATTGAATAGATTGAATGATTAAATAGAATCTTCATCAAATGCCAAAACAACTACTTTCTTATCATCTGTAATGAAGCATCATCAACTGAATCATAATTGAATTCAGCGTTTTATTATGAACTGAGACCAGCTGAATAAGATGAACGAACAACTGAAGCTCTAGTAAGAAGCCATGACCTATTAAACCAGTTAACTAATGCATGAGATAAACAATTACCTATATCATTAAATAGTGATCATACTTGGTTACTAAATAACTGAAAATACGAAATGATGAAATGAATGGAGTTAATTCGTGTCGGATAGAGAAGAGGTATCTACCTCAGTACAATGAAAGATGGTCTCACAATTTTATGAATTGATTAAACTTAGATATTGACACTGTTGGATGTCAGCAAGCTCACTAGTCGACAGGTTAAGTGTTCGCACATGAGACTGAAGTCCCTAGGTTCGAACCCCACGTGGCGGACGAAAAGGTTAGATCTAAGTTGTTAATGTGCAGTGTTAAGGTGAATTATTAGTTTTGCAGAAAAACAAACAAACAAACAAAAAACAAAACAAAAGTTACGTAACTCATTTAACACCATAGATCTTATATTAAGTAAACTAACACCAATGAAATAACCTGATCAATATAGTAAAACTTAAAATAAACAAGTAGCAACTATTTATTAATATTTTTAGTTTAAGTTAAACTAATTGTTAGCTCAAATCATTCAAAACACAATGTAGCCTGTTAGTAAGAATGATGATGTCACAATAAAAAGACTTCAATATAAAAAGTATTAGAGGTGTGTTGATAGACAAGGCTGAAAATTTCAATTTGGAAAGAGGAAAAACATTTGAAGGCACTGGACGGTCAATACATCATAGAATGAGACTCCTCGCTAGTGTGCATCCATGATCCTGTACTTGACAGTCAAGGTGAGAAACTTCGGTGACAATCACGAACACTTATCCTTTAGACGACTGAGCCGGTATCCAACGGTGTTAATGTTTAAATACGGCTCAGTGGTCTAGAGGTTAAGTATTTGCAAGAGTGACCGGAGGTCCTGGATTCGAGTTCCGTATACAGGATCGTGGATGAGGACTGTTAAGGAGTCCAATACAAGGACGAAACGGCCGTCCAGTGTCTTCAGGTTTTCTACGGTGATCTATCTTACATCGACTCATGAATTTAAATATGAAAATGGCTAAAATCACCACAAATCTCCATTCTGAATATAAAAATTGTTTTGTGTGTTTATCAGACTTTTGTTGAAATCGAATCAATCATCTAATATCATTCGATAAAACCTGTTAGAGTTGTCATAATTTATAAGTTTTTGCAATAAACATTCATCTAGACAATGGAACAATAGTATACACTTACAAATTATGCTTATATCTTACTTACTAACTTACTTACGCCTGTTACTCCTCGTGGAGGAGCATAGGGCACCGACATATCTTACGTTAGAAGTATATTAATATTTTCTAGTAATTAATATATATATATATTAGTTGTTTGAATGTTCTCATGGACGTTTACAACTGTAATCGATCAGTCTCTTTTAGCACATGTGCATCCTATAAGGATTGCTTCAATATTGCAAATAAGTCAGAAAGATATTTAAGTAGAGATGGATAATGACTAGTAATGAAATCTAGGATGATTGTTTCGTCTTATTTGGAACTTGTTATTTGGATAAATTTTGAGTGAAAGGTAATTAATTCCAATTCCGGGGTGAATATCAATTCCTGGACACGAGTACATCCAGATGATGTATCTGATATAGAAGGCAACAAGTGTTCTGGATCCTATTGCTATCTATATAATTTAAACCAACTATCATATACATTACAATTTGGATTATTCAATTCATAATTGATACTTGATCAGATTTGATTCAAAATGATTAGTATCAAAAGTGATTTTGTGAATATTATAGTGATTATATTACTTGAAATAATGAGTCAGTTAAAGGTAAACCACCATAGAAAACCTGAAAACATTGAACATGGATGCTCACTACTGAAGAGTCCCATAATAGGACGAAACAATTGTCATGATCTCAACTATTAATAAAAAAATTCTTAAACAATGAATGTGGATAATTGTTAGACTGATAGTGTTGTCATTAATTTTCATGATTGAATTGTTCAATGATTTAAAATCGAGTTTTTGTTCATTCAGTAAGGGACTTTGTCTGACACGGTTCAGAACCAATTACAATGGTGTAAATTTATATACTCTTTGTCTTCTTTTAAATCATGAGGTTAAAAGTTATCTTATATCGTACTTTCTACTCACTAATTCTTTCTTTAAACATTAGTACCATTGAAATGACTACTTCTATGAATTTGATATTCTTAGAAGGGGTTTGTGGAGATTTTTAGAAATTTTCACAGATTGAAATCATGAGTCAGTTGAAGCTAGATCACCATTGAAAACCTGGAAGCACTGGACGGCCGTTTCGTCCTGCATGGGACTCCTCAGCAGTGCGCATCCACGATCCCGCACCACGCGGGGCTCGAACCCAGGACCTACTGGCTTTGCGCGCGAGCACTTAACCATTAGACCACTGAGCCGGCGTCCAACGGTGTTAATGTCTAACTTCAACCAATCCACTCATGATTTCAATCTGTGAAAATTTGATATTCATCTTGTTGTACTAATAAGGTATGACAATATGGATCAATGTATCTAGTTGCCTGATCTTACATTGTAACTAAAAGACTGATTGATTAAAACAATACATTGTAAACAATTTGGTTAGAACAATTAGTTAAATTGATTAAATAAAATGACAAATAATTATCCCAATTGATTAAGATCATGAGTCCGTTGAAGCTAGATCACCATGGAAAACCTGGAAGGACTGAACGGCCGTTTCGTCCTATTGTGGGACTCCTCAGCAGTGCAGATCCACGACTTTGCCTCCTGCAAAGATTAGAACCCAGGACTTAACAGTCTCGCGCGCGAGCACTTAACCACTAAACCACTGAGCTGACTGGTATCCAACGGTATTAATATCCAACTTCAACTAATCCAAGAAATTGAGCGACACACCCACCATTGTCATTAATGAGTTACTATCTCACAACAGACCTGGTTGAACTCCATTGTTCACTACTTCTCACTAGAACTCCAGGATATACTTCTTGAAGTCAGTCACTAGTGAGTATATGCTGAAGACTCCCACAACAGAACGAAACGGCCATCCAGTGCACTCAGGTTTTCCATGATGGTCTACCTTCAACTGACTCATGATCTTAACCATTGAAATTACTAATAATATCCAAAAAAAAAACCCATCTGAAAATAATTATTCATTTAGTGAGTTAATCAATAAAGTTAGTTAATAGTTGAATTGAAGAATTCATTCAAACAAAATATAACCAATAGAAAACTTGGAAGTATTGAATAGTTGTTATTAACTCAATGATAAGTAGAATAAAGAAAGAAAGTTATTTAGATGAATGATTTACTTTAGAAAGAAAATAGTATTAATTAACTTCTAAGCCATGTCCATTTTTTAACACTTGGATGGAGATGACTTGGTTTCATTGGTATGTCATAATATCTTTCTGAAAATAATATTAAATAGAGTAATGATATATATATATATGTATTATTATGTAATATCTACCTATTATGTAGGATGTAAATAGTATTCTGTTGTATGTGTTGGGGACGTTAGATCCTTAGAATTCACTTGGGAAAGGATCTAATTTTGTAATTTTATTTAGAAAATTTGAATTTCTTTGTTTTCGCGCCAAAGGCGCTTTTATCACCTTCATATCGTATTTCCCACTGGGAAATATCTTAAATGCTATTGGTCTGTTGTGTCTTTTAGTATGCTATTGGGTAACTTTTCCCAAGGACGGTTTTTTACTATATATATACGTTTTGAAATGTGTTTGTTGTTATCGCCCGTTTCTGGCTGTTTCCAGAATATACTTCCTTTTAGTTAGCGGGGCTGTGACTCATCAATAGCTAGCTTATTGGTCTTTGGTCATTGAGTCATGTTTCTCGTTCTCAGATTAAGTGAACTCGTGATAGCTTCAACCCTAGCAGTATGAATCAATTTAATTCAAGCCTTTCTTATAACAATATAGTTTAATATCAAATGGGAGGCTTGTGGAGATTTTAGTAATTTGAATAGTTGAATTCATGGGTTAATTAAATCTAGATCACCATGAAAAACTTGAAAGTACTAGATAGCCGTTTTGTCCTAGTATAGGACTGCTGAGAGATATATATTTATAATTCCGCACATGCGATTTGTATCAAGGACCTTCGATGGCGAGACTGTAATTTATGGGCGAGCCAATCAGAAGCGTTCGAGTAATTTCAAGGTCATGGAGCCAAGTTCAACACCTGATGCTCACATACGATCGGTTTACAGCGGATTTTAGAGAAGAGGTGATTATTGAGAGGCTACAAGAGATGAGATTACTAAGAAGTTCTTGTACGTGTGACTGTGGTTATCAAGTGACTGCAGTAAAGTGTGCAGACTACCGTGATGAGATTGTATTCCGTTGTTCTTCATGTTGGAGGACATATGTGCAATTAAAATGACACGTCTACACCAATCATTCGGAGGAGTAGGAAGTATTGTGGAAATAGATTAAACAGTAGTGAGAAAGCGAAAATACAACAGGGGACGTAGTATCAAGGAAGATTTGCTAAGTAGCACTTCCGTAAATATACTTGACAGGTACTTGGAATTTATGATCAATCAAAACAGAAGGGACATTTTCAGAGGGTCAGAAACCGGTAAGCAAGCACAGTAATACCAATTATACAGGAATACGTGCAGCCGGGCATTACAGTATATACGGATGATTAGAGAGCTTATAGATGCCTACATAGACTTCGGTATGTGCATCATGTCGTAGTGCACAAGCTCCATTTCGTCGACCCTACAACCGGCGTTTATACTAATAATATTGAAGCTTTGTGGTCCAGACTGAAGGAATTTTTAAGACCGTACCACGGCTCTAGAGGACGACTATTACGGAGCCATATGGACGAGTTCCTATATCGTATTCATTATGATTTCAGAACATCTGAACCTTTATCAAAACTTAACAAGTTTTTAAATCACGTAGAAGAAGAATATCCACTGTAACTGATTAGTTCCTTATAATATATTTTTACTTTATACTGACTGTCTTCTGATTGTCTAATAATTGTCGGGGTTCGTTCAAGGTTCGTCCATAAATTAGAGTCTCGCCCTTCAATCAATTGATGAAATTGCATCACCATCTACTATTGTCTTTAGTAAGTTACTATCTCACAGTGCTTCCAGGTTTTTCATAGTGATCTTGCTTTAAATTGATTCATGAATTGAACTATGAAAAAAATACAGCTTAAGTCTACTTAGATGAACAAGTTGACGATGATATAACAAAATATTTTGGATCCTTTCTTAATAAGTAATATTTTCTCAGTATGGAAATAAATATGTTGGATGTAAAAGGCGTGAATATATACTTAGTCAGATGTCTGAATAACTCTCTGTGTGTACAGTGTTGAATACCATATCAAAGGTACTTTTACATTGGAAAACAGTTCGAACCTATTGGAAAGTATACTTTGATTCCTTTTTATAAATTAAAACAAATTAAGAAAGATGATATTTGAAGAATACAATAGATTCTTTGTTCTCTTGTATATATATGTAAGTGAAGTTAGTCAATAAGCTACAATGTAGGACAAGGCATATATACACATAGGTCTATGTTGCCATATCTCATTAGCACAATAGGCTGAACATCGAAATCATAGAAGTAGTTAATTCAACCATTGGTTATTGTCACGCGGACCCCAACCAAGTAGTCTGCATCTACCAACATGGCTCAGACTAGAAGTTAGTGAATTCAGGTACTGATGCCACATTTTGGTTTGACCGCCCCTAACTTTCTACCAACCATCCTGAACACTGGTCAGCATTGCACGTCGTGGTGATCGGTGTTCAGGCACACAAAAACGTGACCCAACCATCTCAGTCAATAAAGATTCACAACCTCATCAACTGATTTACTATCATTTCCTAGTACCCTGCGTCTAATCTCACTATTACTTACTCGGTGATCGCAGCAGATACGAGCAATATTTCCAAGACATCTGTGGTCAAATACTAGTGGGTTACGAGTATCTTCTACTCTTAATCGCCACATTTCGCAGCCGTGAAGTAGAACAAAAAAACTGCCAAGCAGTACACTCGTCCTTTAAACGATAGACGGATATCTGGCCTTTGCCACAGGTCATGTAACTTGGTGAAAGTCAGACGAGCTTTTTAAGTCCGTACAGAGATTTCGTCAGACATCAACCCATTTGGGGTGATCAGACTTACAAGATAAGTGAATATATCGAGGGGTTCGACTACTTTATTCCCTATTCTTAGTTCAGGTGTTGACTCAGGCCAATCCTTTAGTAACAATGTGCATTTAGAGGGAGAGAAGCGCATCTCAAACATCTTGGCATTGTTGCTCAGTGCTACCAAAAGACTGGATTTTATCAGCGTCTTCACCAAACAGGACTATTTCATCTGCATATTCGAGGTCAATATGTAGACCTCCTGGTGGGAGATCAATTCCTGAAAATCCAGACGACGAAAACGTTATTGTCAGAAGTAGGTCTTTGATGAAGTTGAACAAAAATGGATATAATGGAGAGCCTTGATGAACACCGCTTGCAAAATCAGATGATAATTCGCCATAAGCTCTCACTCGATTAGTAGTGTTCGAGTAAAGAGCCTTAACAAGGTTTATGTTCTTCTGAGGTTCACCTTTCAATGACAGACACTGTCACAGGACCTCTCGGTCTACAGAGTCAAATGCTGCTTTTAAGTCAAAAAAGACCACTATTGTCGGACACCGATAAGCATGTCTGTGTTCTAGAATCCGACGAATAGTGAATATATGGTTGATGCAGCCACGATTAGGTCTGAAACCAGCCTGATTTCCTCATGTTTGCAGTTCGCGAGTCTTTGTTAGGCGCCCAATAATTATTGAGGCTAGTATTTTAGATGCTATATTGGTCAAACTAATACCTCTATGGTTATCACAAAATGATTTTGACCCATTCTTATATATTGGGACAATTAGTTATTGCTACCATTACGTCGAACTCCCAAATTTTAGCTAAAATATAAATTAACCTAATCTCTAAAACTAGACCATCATCCTTAAAGACTTCTGGGGCCAATCCATCTGAACCAAATGTTCTTCCTCGTTTCAGATTAGCTATAGATTTTTGAACTTCCATTAGAGTCGGGAGACCTACTTCAATGTTCCATTCATGCTGTTTGAGAATGGTAGGTAGTATGTAAATGAAAAGAAAGTAATGAAAATCGAATGAATTATTAATCACATTCATTCAATGTTATCTTTTTATGTTGTTGCTTGATTTGATTTCTTGATTTCTCTGTTGAAATCATCATACCACTGGGTTATCCTATTCTATACATAGTTTTGTTGTTGTAATAATAAGGGAGCAGTTTAATCAGAAAATCTGATATACAACTTTCTTTTAATAATGACAACAAATGTAACTGATGCCTTTTAATATTATTATTATTATTATCATTATTATTATTATTATCAGAAGGGCTTTTGTGGAGATTGTAGTAATTTTAATGGTTAAGATCATGAGTCAGTTGAGGCTAGATCACCATGGAAAACCTGGAAGCACTGAACGACCGTTTCGTCCTATTGTAGGACGCCTCAGCAGTGCGCATCCACGATCCCTCCTCGCGGGGCTCGAATCCAGGACTTATCAGTCTCGCGCGCGAGCGCTTAACCACTAGACCACTGAGCTGGCAGGCATCCAACGGTGTTAATGTCTAGCTTCAATTAATCCACGAAATTGAGCGACACATCCACCATTGTCACCATTGAGTTACTATCTCACAACAGACCTGGTTGAACTTCACTGATCACTGCTTCTTCTTCTTATTATGTTTTTAACATCACCAGTGCCTACTTCAGGCAGAAAACAGTAACATCAAAGTTATTCACTTTGATATGTGGACGAAGGAAATAATGTTTAGTTGTTCACTTAGTCAAACCAATAGTGTCAGTATTTGAAGTGGTAATATACTGACATTCTAGTCAGGCTCGTCACATGTTCTTACTATGAGTTATATTGAAGTTCTATAGAATAGACACTGGAAGTGTATTCAGTGCAGATATTCGTCTCAGGTAAATTAACGTTCTATTCGTGTAAACAAAGAAAATCGTCCGTTATAACACACTTTTAATTTTTCTTAGAAATAATCAGATTGTTTAGAATGTATTCCATCGAAAACTGGGTTTATCGTCAAATTTAATGTGGCATATAATATTCTAATTTTATTTCCATTATTCTAATGAATAAATAATTACAAGTTGATAGTCTTAATGTTTTTTGGTTGGAGGTAGTCAACATGAAGTCCTAGATCTAGGTTTCGTGCTATTTGGCACTCATCGGTAAAGTGTACCTGTAATCTTGAGGGAATTGATGCTCCCTGACGGATTCAATCCCGTATCACCCAGCTTCACAGTCAGAGACGTTACCACTGAGATATCAGGGCCGCGACTGACCTTCTGTCAGACTGAGATGTATTCATAATGGATTAACCAGTTCTTCTTAGTGCAGATCGAATCTTATCGACCAAGTTTGAAAATGTTCAATAAATGAGTTTCTGTTCATCTTATTTTATGCATTGAATAAATAAATTTAAATGATAAATATATATGTTTATATATCGGTTGATACTCACCGTAATCTACGTTTGTAACCATAATTGCTAAAGTGATTTGAGAGAGATTGTGGAGTTTGAAAAGAATAGACAAATGGTGACCAATATAAAGAGTAATAAAAAAAAGCCAATTATTGTTTTCAATGGAATCAAGAATCGATCTAAGTTTGACAAACTTTGAAAATCTGGAAGTACTTAGGAACCATTTCATTGTAGTATAAGACACCTCAGCGGTATTCATTTATTGACCTCATAACTGGGAATGGAACCTATGCCCCCTTGGTCTCACTTGTCAATAATTAACTTCTAGATCACAGAGGCAGTACACAAATATTGTGAATGTCTGGGTTCAGTCCATGAAAATATGTTTGTTGGGGCATTTTAGAGTTTTTGTCTATGATGTCATTAGTTTTTTATTGAAAGGCAAATGGTATTTTCAGAGTTGCCTTGTAGTAAAACCTAAAAGGTAAGTGTATTTAAGTCCCTAAACTTATAGGTAAGATATTTATCATTCATTCACTACATTCTTATCTTGAAATGTCAGAGCGTTATCTACTAGGTAAGTTCTCTTGTTTGGAAAATACTAATAACCAGTGACGCTTGTCTTTATCAATTTTTTAGTGTATCACACTTCATTATTAAGAAGGTAACCCATATTTGAGACTCGACCACTCTACACTAATAAACAACATCCGTATGTATTAAAAGACATTTATCAACAGAGGATGACGGCAAATAAGAATATTTACAGATTCCAACATGACTATGACAGCTAATACACCTAGATAAATCATAACATGAAAGATCAAAAGTTATAAGTTGATTTCTCACATGCAAAGCTGTGGATGCACACGAAGATGAAACGATCGTCCAGTGCTTCTTAATTTTCAATGGTGATCAAGATAAAGTCAGTGCATGATTTGAAGTCTGAAATTCTTTCAACGTTTGCGAATCTCTCTATTACTAACTTACACATGTATTCCTGTTACTCCTCGTAGAGTAGCACAGGACACACACCAGCTCTCTCCATCCAACACTGTCCTGGCCAATCCTTTCCAGATCCTTCCAGTTGTTATTCATCTTATTCATATCTGCTTCAATTTCCCCACGTAATGTGTTTTTTGACCTTTCTATTTTTTTTTGCATCCCTTCATGATTCCAAGTTATCACTTGACTCGTGATGCAGTTTGGTGATTACCTCAATGTATATCTTATCCACTTCTAACGTCTTCTCTTAACTACCTTTTCAGTTGGGAGCTGATTTGTCTTCTCCCACAGTAGGATGTTGTTGATGGTATCCGGTCAGTGGATATTGAGTATCTTGTGTAGACAGTTATTTATGAATATTCGTACCATTTTGATGATGGTTGTAATAGTTCTCTTAGTTTCAGCTCTGTACAGTAGAACTGTCTTGACGTTTGTATTGAAGATTGTGACTTTGATATTGGTTGACAATGATTTTGAGTTCCATCTGTTCTTCAGTTGTAGGAATGCGGATCTTGTTTTGTCAGTCCTCGCTTTTAGGTCTGCAAATTTCCCTATACTAAATATTTTAAATTTGGCTGGCCAAATTGATATTTAAAATTATAACCTGGTAACTAGATGTCTGTTATGTTCATAATTGATTTACGGATATTTATACTTAGTAACAAAATTCAAATGAAATCATATTTCATTGTTAGATTTATTTGACATTTCTCTGTTTGAATAGTTGAAATTATGAGTTAATTGAAGTTAGACCACCATGAAAAGCCTGGAAACACTGGACGGCCTTTTTCGTCCTAGTACTGAACTCCTCAGCGGTGCGCATCCACGATCCCGCCCGGAGAGATTCAAACACAGGACCTATCAGTTTCGCGCACGAACGCTTAACCTGGCATCCAACGGTGTTAATGTCTAACTTCAACCAATCCACGAAATTTAGCGACACATCCACCATTGTCTTCAGTGAGTTACTATCGCATTTTTATATATAGTAACAAATATATAAGAAATTCAGTAATTCACGCAAAGGTGCTCAATAATGACCAATTTGTATAGGTAATTCAAAGAGCTCTAGTGAAGAACTGTCGTCAGCAGGGCTTAGCCTTGTTATATATTAGATAAATGGCAATTAATAATGATCAAGGACTATCACAAATTTACCAGAGTTAGGAATATAAACTAATAGTTAACAACTCAGTAGTTTAAAGGTTAGACTATCACCGTGAAGCCTGAAGGTCTTGGCTTTGAATCCTAGTTATAATTTAGACGTACCATACTAATAGATCTTATGATAAAAAAATAGTTGTGCGATGCTTTCCACTTATAAGTAGTTTCCTAATTAAAATCAATATCAAATTTGGGTTTTGTACTGAACATTTACACAGACTGTCTAACCGATTAACCGGAACCCATCGAATTATACTAACTTACGCCTTTTGTTCATTTTTCTCATGTCTGTCTTCATTTCTCGACGTAATGTGTTCTTTAGTCTTCTTCTTTTCCTTAGGCTTTAAGGATTCCATGTTAGGGATTGCCTTGTGACGCAGTTGGGTGCTTTCCTCAATGTGTATCCTATCCACTTACAACTCTCCTTCCTGATTTATTCCTCCACTAGAATCTAGTTTGTTCCCTCCCATAGTTGGTTGTTGCTGATAGTGTCTGGCCAATGAATCCGAAGTATTTTGCGTAGACAGCTATTAATAAACACTTGTATCTTCTGAATGATGATTTTAGTTTCCGCTCCATATAGTAGAACTGTCTTGATATCTGCATCAGATTCACCGTGTCCATCAATGATGCTGCCCTACTCGTATGACAATTTTAACTTGAATGATAACACATTTTTTCGGTACTTAAGGCATAATAAACATAAAACCCACCAATTCCGATTAATAACACACTGGTTCATTTTACAAGAATGTTTATATTGCACAATAAGTAGATATGATGATGGCTAGCAGTAGAATGCAGTATGCTCGTTCCATCCTGTTTTGAAATTCATCAAACGGATGCACTTACATCTTAGAATTGATGTTCATTCTGAGACTCGAATCCATTATCGTCTACTTTAGACATCATCGTAAAATCCACTTAGTTACAAAGTCCAGATTCATTATTTGAATTATCCCGTTGATACTACTGAATTTAATATTTCATCTTATGTAATAGAAAGATGATGGAATTATAATTGTACAGTTTGAATAAGCGCTAATTTAAATTTTTATTAAATTTATATTTTTAAGTATATACTACTTAAATTGTAAAATGAATGATAAGTAGTATGAAAAAGAATTTTTTAGAAAGAGAGAAAAAAAAACAAAAAAAATTTATAACTTACCAGGTGGTGGTGGTTTCTTTTTCTCACAGCAACATAAATTTCTTGCACGTTCACAAAATGATGGATGCATTTCCAAGTTAGATACACTGAAATGAAATTTGTTTTTTTTAAAAACTTTATTCATCACTAACGGCATAGATGAGTTGCTTTTTTTCAAAGTATGAATCAATCGAAGCTAGACCATCATGGAATATTTAGAAGTACTGAACAGTTGTTTCGTTCTAGCATGGAATTCCTCAACAGTGTGTAACCATGATCCCCCCTCACGAGATTCGAACCTAAGACTTTCGGTCTCGCGTGAGAACACTTAACCTCTAGACCACTGAGGTGGCTGGCATCCGATTGTGTTGATGTCTAAGTTCATCTAATTCAAGAAATTGAGCGACGCAGCCACCATTGTTTTCAGTGAGTTACTACCTTACAACAGACAGCATATGCTTACTACTTACTGACTTCGAGAGTTATTTCTTGGAGTTCTAGTGAAAAGCAGTAACCAGTAGAGTTCATCCAGGTCTGTTGTGAGATAGTAGCTTACTAAAGACAATGGTAGACAGTGGCGAAATTCCATGGATTGATTGAAGTTGGACATTAACACCATTGGATGCCGGCCAGAGGTTAAGCCTTCGCGCGCGAGACCGATAGGTTCAGGGTTCAAATTCCGTAAGCAGAATCGTGAATACGCACTGCTGAAGAGTCCCATACTAGGACGAAATGGCCATTCAATGCTTTCAGGTTTTTAATAATGGTCTAACATTGATCCATTCATGATCTCAATCAGAAACTCAATAATCTTCACAACCCCATACTGATATTTATAAACCCAGTTAGTATACAAAAATATCACTTCTTTTTTTAACGGTCAGCCAGTAACAACGTAGAACTTCGTACGTACATACATCAGTTCGAGTTGCCATACCACATTAGCACACAGATACAATTGTTCATTCAAATCCCATAATGGTAGAAGTAGTAAAAGTATAAGCAGTGATCGGAAAGATTAGGGTTTGAAGATGTTGGAAAGAGAAAATAGAGATATGAAGAATTTAGAAGATTAGAATTTGCGAGAACATAAAGAGTGAACGCACCTGCTCACACCATTGCAAATGATTTTGAACCATATCATTCAAGATCTCTAACCATCGGTTTCTTTCATCTCGCGGATCTCAACCAGGTAGTCTACACCTACCAACATGGCTCAGTCCACTTGTCAATGACTTCATAGATTTGTGCCATGTTTTGGTTTGGCCGTCCCTAATTTCATCAAATAACCTCTGGTCATGAAATATAACTCAAGAGGGTGGCATTTCAATCGTAAACAAATTATCAACTATGGATATTTTACTTACTCATTTAATAATCCTTTATTTCTAACTTCTTCAATTTCATGATCAACTTGATCTAAAAATTTTTGTAAATCATCTGATTCATTATCATCAGATCGTTTATTTCCTGATGGAGCTGATAGATTTTCTGGAAATGCATCAGGATCCATAAATACAGATCGATAGCTAACATCTAAATTATAATCTAAAATTTTTGATGTTTGAAAATCTTCATCATCATCACCGAATGGATTCATAACACATAAAGCTACCTGAAAAATGTAGAAAAAAGAAATCCTCAGAAATCCTTAAAAACAAACATTCAAGAACTTTAAGAAAGACTATATATATATTCAGTGGAGCTTCGTGTAGAATTCTTCAGTCGATGGTTGATTTGGAAGTACTTCACCTAACTGTATATATATACATATATTATTTACTTATTTACGCCTGTTGCTCCTCGTGGAGGAGTGTAGGCCGCACACTAGCACTCTCAATCCAACACTGTCCTGGCCAATCCTTTCCAGCTCTTTCCAGTTATTATTTATCCTTTTCATACCTGATTCTGTTGCCCGACGTAATGTGTTCTTTGACCTTTCTATTTTTTTTGCATCCCTTCAGGATTTCAAGTTATCGCTTGACTCGTGATGCAGTTTGGTGATTTCCTCAATGTACATCCCAGCCATTCCCATTGTCTTTTGTTAATTTCCTCTTCAGTTGGGAGCTGATTTGTCTTCTCCCACAGTAGGATGTTGTTGATTGGATCCAGTCAGTGGATATTGAGTATCATACGTAGACAGCTATTTATAAATACTTGTACCTTTTTGATGATGGTTGTTGTAGTTCTCGAAGTTTCAGATCCTTTAAATATATTAGTTTATTTGCTTTTGTGGAGCATGTTATATCACCGCTACAAAGTATGCTTTTTCCAAACAAATTTTCTGGTATTCTCGTAGATAATTTTCAAAAGATGGTGTAAAGTTAGGTCAGATGAATAACGAGACAGAAACTTGTGGACAACAGGCTTGGTTTGCATAATCAGAAGTGACTTGCACAATTCCTTTTCCTAATATGATTCTAACCCGCCTGAATTTTGCTATCACTAATATTAGTAGTAATTATTAATACGTAATCGATAATTAATAGACTAGTAGCAGTTGTAAATAGTTAATCTTATATTTCTGATTGAGATCATGAACTGATTGATGTTAGACCTCCATTGAAAACCTGGAAGTACTGGACAGCTGTCTCGTTCTGTCGTGAGACTATTCAGCAATGCACACTCACCATCGTCACGTTTACGACTGAAATCGATCAGTTTCTCTCGGCACATATGCATCCTCTAAGGTTTGTTTCAAAGTTGATACTAAGTCAGAAGAATGCTTAAGTAGAAATGGATGGTGATTAGTAGTGAAATGCACGATGCTCATTTCATTCCATTTGAGATCATATTGTACAAGTGAGCATCTATAATCCTTGTTAAGATATGAATCCATGTCACATACAATTAGAAAAATATATATCAGTTTCGTATATCATCAGCATTTGAATTGACTAAGGTATTACTCGCCATATCATAGTATCAACATGGTTATTAATGGAGTGAAATAAGAAACTGAAGTTTTTGTGTTTGTTAACAAGAATTCAGAAGCTCACTCACACTATTTTGAATCATTGAACCTATTCTACGTTATAAATTAGGCACATACTTCAACGACAAATCATCCTTAAAAAAAATTGTAATTTGATAGAACAGAAATTTACTAGTTAGCCTACACTTCACTGGTTCACTTCAAAGGTTCCTAATGGATTTAACCTTAAAAAAATTGAACCGAAATAAAATACCATTTTTTCATCATGTCTTTAACTTTATTTTCAGTCAATTGAATATGAAGGTGGTATCTGATTGCCTTTCAACTGTTCATTTTATGCTAATAGTTGAATTCATGAGTTAATTTAAGCTAGATCACGATTGAGAATCTGGAAGAAGTTGATAGCCGTTTCGTTCTAGTATAGGACTTCTTAGCAGTGATCATTCACGTTTCCGTATCAAAGGGACTCGAACCGGGGCTATTCGGTCTCGCATGAAAACTCTGGATCAGAAACCAACGTTGTTAATATTTGATTTCAATCCAGCTACGATGTTTCGCGATCATCTTTTGTTGTTTTCAGTAAGTAACTAACTCACAACAGACACAGATTTACTCTACTAGTGATGATTTCTTACTAGAACTCAAAGAAATCCATCTTGAAGCTAGTCCCAAGTGAGCATATGATTATTATTAGAATAGAGGTTTGTGGAAATAGTAATAATTTTAATAATTGAATTCATGAGTCGATTTAAACTAGACTACGATTGAAAATCTGAAAGCACTGAACGGCAATTTCGTCCTAGTATTGGACTCTTCAGTAATGAATTCAACTTTGAATATACTACAATCTCCACTAACCTCATTGTATTCTAATCATAGTTGGATAAACTATTTATCAAATTAAAGGTTACATATAAATTTTTCTCTAAAAAAAATCAATCATTCTTACCTTTAACCAACCCATAAGGAATAAGAAAGAGAAGATACTAAAAATTGGGACATATAAATCCACATTATGTTGACCATTTTGATTACGGTGTTCAACAAATTGACATGCAAATATTTGACACATAAAATAACTATAAACTGCTATAATTACAACCTATAAAGTAAATAATCATCAATATATTACATAATCATATATAAATGAATAAAAGAATGAAGTAAACAATCATTTATGATTTATAATAGGAACTAGTTGAAGGCGTACAACATAAACTGATCAACGATTTGACAGTATAAAGTTTGATGAATGTAACATACGAACTATGTCGGGTAGAGAAGTTGAGATTGATTATGAATACAATGGTCTTGAGTGCTGTTAGAGGTATGAGGGCGGTTATCACTTCCTGGTCGCCCACATCGTAGAAGGGTTCTCCTGAAGGTACCTGAAAATGAAATTGGATTAGAGGTGGTCTTAATGATCTGAGAGCTTGACCTCAGTGCCCGAAAAGCAGCCATTGGAGGTCGGTCACACACAACCTTTTTGTGAGTAATTTTCATATTAGCTCCGTACTTGTTGAGACCTTATCGCTGGAGACGGATTTCTGTGGAATAAGGCGAGGTGTGCAGTTTCATGATCGACCTTTTCTAAACCAACCCCTCCTTGTGGGAAGGCAGCATCGCTGCCATACTGGTTGTCTGAAGGAAACACCTTACTACTGTCACACCTTTGTGCAGTCAGCAGTACGACTTGGCATTCGGACCATGGGTTTGTTGCTTTTAGTCTTACAGCTCTTCAACCGACCTGTCTGGTATGGTAGGACCTTGAGGAACGATTGTTCCAGACAGTATAGCTCGATTGGTTCACTACGATAAGGAAGCCCGACCGCCACGTCAAGCTAGCAACAACGGTAGGGCGGGTAGAGAAGATGATTGCGCAATAACGTGGATTGGTTGAAGTTAGACATTAACACAGTTGGATGCCGACCAGCTCAGTGGTCTAGAGATTAAGCGTTTGCGTGTGAGACCAAAGGCTTTGGATTTGAATTCCATGTGGCGGAATCGTGGATACGCATTGATAAGGAGTCTCGTACTTGGATGAAAAAGTCATCCAGTACTTCCAGGTTTTCAATGATGGTCTAACATCAATCAGTTCATGATCTCAATCAAAAACATACAAATATACATGGCGAATAATTCAAAAATGTATTCATGTTTGTCAATTGAGAGTAGAATGATAGTTTATTGATTCGTTAAGCTTTTATATACTGCATTTTTGTAAAATGGATTCAAATTAGACTGACCATTAAGTAGAATGACTGGGACATTTTCGAGATAGAAAATCAATTCATTCATGATGTTTTATGATTCAAGAAATCTAGTCAAAGTACTCATTAGAAAATTAATTTATGACTTTTCCTATTAACATTATTGAAAACATAAACAGTGATTGATCACAAACAAATGGGAAGTTTCGAACAACCAAGAATCATCCTATTGCACAGAGTATTAGTTCTGTGGATCATGTAATAACATTTGAAACGAACGGTATTGGGTTGGAGTCCGGGGATGAATGTGACGCGGTTACATTCAGCTGACCAGTTCCCAATAGGACAAAAAGTACTTTCATAAACCATCTCTGCTCAATAACTTCCTATACAAACGTAGACTAACTATGATATATAATTGTCAATATTCTTTATAGTACGGCGAGACTAGAATTTATGAATGACCTTTGAACGAATCTTAAGTGACCCTGAGGCATATTGGCTAATCGGGAAACTGGTAGTTTAGAGTGAAAATGTAATATACAAAACCAAAGAATTAGAGTGGATACACTTCTTTTGCATGATTTAAACACTTTATAAGGTTAGAAAGAGGTTCAGAGGTTCTGCAATCATAATGCATATGAGATAGGAACTGATCCATATGGTTCTATAGTAGTCGACCTCTGCAGATATAGTAAAGTCGCAAAACCTCTTTCAGCCTAGACCTTATAGCTTCAATATTGCTTTTGTGCAATACGGTTGATGGGTCCACAAAATGATACTTGTGGACAACGACATGATGCACATAGCCAAGTCTATGTAGGCATCGGTACGCTCTCCAGTCATCCGTTTATATTGTAGTACGCGGCTGCATATATTACCGTCTAAATGACCTGTCGTATGTTCCAAGGACCTGTGAGGTATATTTATGGAAGCTCTACTTACCCAGTCTTCTCTAACACTAAATCCTTTGTTGAATTTTCCTTTTCTGACAACTGTTTCGTCTGTTTCAACGGTCCTCATGACTCCTTCAAACGAATCGTGTAAGCTTATCATTCTTACTGAACATATATCTCTACAATACTCATACCACTGAACAGTCGAAGCTTCAGTAACATCTGCAAATGTTGCAGCTAGTTCTCAACAATGATCATAATTTGCCTTAGTCTCAATCTGGATCGAGCGAAAAATTCTTATTCTAGCAGACTTCTTCCTCCAACATATATTACATCGAAAAAGCATCATCACAGTAGTCTGTACAAGGTCCTCATGTCATTTGATTTACATTATCAAAAATCAAGGAACTTCTTAGTAGTCCCATTTGTTGTGAACCGATCGTACATGAGCATCTAGTACTGAAATTATCGCTGTGACCTTCAACTCCCTCGGATGCTTCTGATTGGCTCATCCATAAATTATAAGAATTACCTAACAATTATGTCTTATAGTTTGCAACATGAATTTATTTTAGACAACTGTTGAAAACCCTGGATCACTGGATGGGACTCCTCAATAGTGTACATCTGTAATCCTGTTGGAAATCGAATCCACGACTTTCAAGTCTCACAACTGGAGCTTGAACGTTTTAGACCATTGAGTTTGTACATATACTTAGAATAATTTAACAAGCCTTATGAAACATTCACTTTTAAATTCACATAATATAAAACAAGTTTGTTTTCTCGTTCTATCTGTCAGTCACATTCTAATATGATACTGTTGAGTCGTTGAATTCGAATTCAGTGATCTTCTTCATTTGTAAATTCTGTCAAATTATTGTATAACTTGAAATTGAATTAAAACTTTTGACAATGTTTCACTTACTTGAGTATACACTAATGGAATCATAATACTACTGTATACTTGTAAATTCTGCATACTTTGTCTAACTCTACCAATATTCTATAAAAATAAGTGAGAAGATAAAGATTGATCAATTTTGCGAATGAATACTATTAATTGGTAACTAATTGTATAACTAACAAAAGGCAAGTGATCATGCTAACTATGAACTTACATACATACTTACGCCTGTTACTCCTCGTGAAGGAGCAGAGGCCGCTCAACACTGTCCTGGGTAATCCTTTCCAGCTCCTTCCAGTTGTTATTCATCCTTTTCATATCTGCTTCAATTTCCCCACGTAATGTGTTTTTTGACCTTTCTATTTTTTTTGCATCCCTTCAGTATTGCAAGTTAGGGCTCGCCTCGTGATGAAGTTTGGTGATTTCCTCAATGTATGTCCTATTCACTTCCATCGTCTTCTCCTAATTTCCTGTTCAGATGGAAGTTGATTTTCCCTCTCTCACAGTAGAATATTATTGATGGTATCCGGCCAATGGATGTCGAATATCTTGCGTAGACAACCATTTATAAATACTTGTATCTTCTTGATGTTGGTTGTTGTAGTTCTCTTAGTTTCAGCTCTGTACAGTTGGGCTGCCTTGACGTTTGTATTGAAGATTGTGACTTTGATGTTAGTTGAAAGTTGTTTTGAGTTGCATATGTTCTTCAGTTGTAGGAATGCGGATCTTGCTTTGTCAATCCTCGCCTTTACGTCTGCATCGGATCCTCCTTGTTCATCGATGATGCTTCCCAGGTATGTGAAGGATCCTACGTCTTCCAGAGTTTCGCCATCAAGTGTGATTGGATTGCTGTTCTCCGCTTTGAATTTTAGGACCTTGGATTTGCTCTTGTATATGTTGAGGCCTACTGATGTAGAGACTGCTTCTACACTGGCTGTCTTTATCTGTATTTGTTCGTGTGTATGGGATAGGAAGTCTAGGTCATCTGCGAAGTCTAAGTCGTCTAATTGGTTCTGAGCTGTCCATTGTATGCCGTGTTTTCCTTCAGATGTCGAGGTCTATCAAACTTGACACTAATTACTAAGAATATGATCTAAGATTAATATTTGTTTTATGGATTATGAATTACGGTTCGAATGTTGAGCGTGTCGACGGTTTCATTTATCTTGAGAGTTTCATCAGTTCTTGTGGTCTGGTGTGTGATAAAATCTTAACAGGGATACAGAAGGCTTGACTAGCTTTTGCTAATTTGCGTAATTTATGGCGTAGGCGAGATATCCGTCTACCGACCAAATGACGGGTTTACTGCGCAGCAGTTCGCTCCATCTTACTTTATGGCTATAAAACATGGTCGGTAATAGTAGAGGATATTCGTAGGTTACTAGCATTCGATCATAGTTGTCTTCAAAGCATTGCTCGTATATCGTGGGACCAACGAGCAAGTTGTTAGAAAACGGGTACTAGGTAAGGATGGCAAATCAATTGATGAAGTAATGAAACTTCATCAGTTGAGATGGCTGGGACACGTGTTACGTATGCCCAACCACCGATGTGCGATGTTTTATGGTGTAGGAGTAGGATGGAAGAAAACTAGAGTTGGCCAGACCAAAACATGGTACAAATTCATGAGGTCAGTGACAAGTGGACTAAGTCATGTTGTTAGGTGTAGACTACCTGGTTGGGATCCGCGAGATGATAGCAACTGATGGCTAGAGACCTTGAATGACATGGCTCAAAATCGTTTGCAATGGCGCAGGTGCATCCACTCTTTGTGTTCTCCCAAATTCTAATCTTCTGAACTCTTCATGTCCCTTTCTTTCTTCTCTTTCTAAATTTATTTCACTGGATTATACTCCTTGAATAACCCTGTTCTTAAATTAAACTCAGTTTATTAACTGGTGTCTACCACGTTCACAGTCACTTTTTGGCTTGATTTTGTATAAATGTTATTTGCTACTTTATGATGTGATGTAGTCTGTTTGGCGGGTATGTAAACCAAGTATGTTTGAAATATATGATTCATACCTGATAGGTTGAGATAGGTGTTCTGGACTTAACTGGCAAGACTAGGAGGAAAAGGACGAAAAAAGACGCTAGGCTGTTCATACTTGTCGATACATCTTTGGTTTGGTACAGTACTAAGATTAAATAAGTTGTATTTAGATTGGCAAATAAGTCACATGATATTAAGCCTGGCTTAAGGTCACAACAATCTTCAGGTTGGTATTTCAACTTATTTTAGAATTATTTAATAATTTAATAGTTGAATTCATGAGTCAACTGAAGCTAGATCATCATGGAAAACCTAGAAGCACTAGACTGCCGTTCCGTTCTAGTAAAGTATTGTTGAGGAATCCTAAGATGGCACAAAACAGCCGTCCAATGCTTCTAGGTCTTACCATGGTGGTCTACCTTACATAAACTCATGAATTCAACTTTCAAATTACAAAATGTCATCTCTCATTATAACTATTTAACAGTTATCTATAAAGATTTTAAATAGAATAGAATAATGAACATACTTCAACAGTATAAAATGCTACTTTAGGATCATCAATATAACCACTTTGTAATGCTTTTAATGTTAATCTTTGAGCCCATTGTATAGGTACCCAATATTCTGGTGTATAATTAGTTTTTGTACGTCGAAACCAATCAGCTGCTATACGTTCAAATGATGAAATTTCTTTTTCAGTAATTAATACACCAAATGAACTTTTCACTTCTATTAAAATAATAATAAAAAAAGGAGAGATCAATTGAAAAACAGTATAGAATATTCACCCTGTACGGATTGCCTCGATATAGCCTTAAGTCACAAGCTTTCTGAGCAAAGATGGATAGTGGCTAGTAGTGGAATCTAGAACGTGTGTTCCGTACTAATTGGGACTCATCAGCTGGATGTACTTGCATCTCAGACATGATGTTCACTCTGGGACTGAAACCCAGAACCGTTCGCTTTAAACTCCATCGTGTTATCCACTTAGCTACTTAGTCCTTACAACCAACTGTTTGTTCAATGGGGTGAAGTTTAAATTCGCTTGGTGTTGTTTTACTTGTATCTTCTCATTGTTATTTAGGACTGCAATTGATTAGTCTCTTGTTGGCACGTGTGCACCCTGTGCAGATTGCCTCGATATTGGCCTTAATTCACAAACATGGTCAGTAAAGATGGATAGTAGCTAGTAGTAGAATCCTGGACGCATGTTTCGTCCTGCTAGACACTATCTATCTTTTCATAAATGATTGATCATTTGATTATTATGAAAATATTATTGATGGATTATAGTGAAAAGAATAGTAGCATAATAACAAAAGATGTCATCAACTATCTGTTAAAAACATATACATATTTACAGTTGATTATTTACTGAATAGCGACCAAAATCTTGTGCCTTTAGTGTTGATCGAATTTGGTCACTGTTATAAATGACTTGACATCTTATGCAGTTTACTGGGTTGTTAAGTTGCTAAACGTGGTTTTGTGTTATTCGACACTTTCTAGTAATGCCTACTCATAATATATGAGAAAACTAATCCATTCTAGTTGACTCGAACTTTATCACCCACCGGAAAACATCAATTTTCTCAGGAATACAGGTAGGCTTTAATCGAGAGTGACAAATAGAAAGAAACCAAGGTCTATTGTTTCTTACAATCGATTGATCATTAGGTTGTGATCAATGTCATGTATGTCAGGTCCTTCTTAGTGCAGATTGAATCCTATCGACCAAGTTGCAATAAGACCACCAATCTAGGTGACTCAACATTGCATGCACTATGTTGAAATGAGATGGTGGTTGGATGTAGTCAACACGAAACCCTGGATCTAATTTTCATACTACATGGCACTCGTCAGTAAGGTGTAGCTGTTAAGCTCCCTGACGGATTCGACCCCGTGTCACTCAGCTTCACAGTCAGATATGTTACCACTGGTCTATCCAAGCCGCTTTTGACCTCCTGTAGGACTGAGATGTATTTACAATTGATTGATCACTTGGTGGTAATCAATATTAAGTATATCAGGTCCTTCTTAGTGCATCTTTGGAATTTTTGAGGCTTTTTATCTGACAATACCATCTGATATGAACAATGTAGAATATTTAACATTCATGTATCACTGAATCTCTCTATAAGAGTGTGTATTCTATAATAATCATATATTCACTACTGATTTGATTTGATAAGGTTCTCAAAGATCTAGTAGGAACTATGATGGACAGAATCAATCAAGTTAGGAATGGAACAATAATTTTTCAATGACACCAGTTCAGTATTTTACTATGGAATTCATTGAAGGGTTAGAAATATTGACTATTTGATTATCTGCATATAGTCTAAATGTAGCAAGCTCATCATAACGACTGACTTTTGTGATCTAAAATACATGTATAATTCATTGAGGGGTACCATTAATTTATTCTAGATCATTTCTCCCCAGACCTCAATAATTCTCAGGCGATTGTCAATTTTTCTAATAACAACCATCTTCATTCTTGTTACATTGGCTACTTGATTAACGTAGAATATGATGCACAACTAACGGCAGTCGAATGCATAGAACCCTACAGTCATAAAATCAGAAGGAATCAGAAGTTATTGTTGAGTAAGAATCAAGAATATACAGAAAATCATGGATATTTATAGATATTAGCCTTAGCTACATCATTATAATTCAGTCAATCCACAAGGAGGCAAGTCAAGTTGATCTTCTAGAAAACTGTATCAAGCTCAGATTGAGTTTAAACTCTTCGGATCTTTTAGTCTCTGGACGTTCCATCATACTTCTTGAAAGTCATTTCAACATTTCCAAACAGATCCTTTCCATAAAAGATTACAGATTCATTCTATTAGTTTGTGTTATCCTTTCAAATATATTGAATACAAAATTCAAATTAATCATAGTTATTTACTTACTTTGATCTTGATTAAATGCTCTTAACATTTCTCTTAATTCTACAACATCAGCTGCTTCAAATGCATCAGGTAATGCACCACATTCTTCATCTGTAGCTAATGGTGCTAATGGTGTATGAACATCCGAAGAATTAGGTGTTTGTGGTTGAACAAATATATTATTTAATGGACTATCTAATTTAGTTTGTATTGGATATTGTGATTGAGATAATTGTTGTTGTAATATTGATTTTGATGGTGATGTACGTACCACTTCACTTGCATCAATTGACCATGGTTGACATGTATTTCTACTTATTAAATGTTTATGATTTGTTGATTTACGTTTAGGTAATACAGGACCTAATGCACTTGGTAAACTACCAATATCATCATTTTTAATAAAACGACATGCAATTTGATCTGAGATACGTTTCATCATTAATACCCAGGCTAAATTCATATAACGCATAATAGTTAAACGAATTTTACGTGAACCTTCTTCACTTTTTGCATTGATAGATGACTAGAATAAAAGAAAATGTAAAATGTAAAGTGTTATGAAGTAGTAGTTGGTTAGTTAAATCTTCTCACTGATGTTGATCAGCCTCTTTTTGACATGTCTGTATCTTGTCATTTGATTAAAACAATTATAAGGAGAAATGGATGGACATGTATAGCTGACAAGTTTCAGAGAAGACGAAACACGCATTCTGGATTTCACTGTTAGACACCATCCATCTCTATTTACACAGTAGTTTATTGTTAGGAAAGTGAATGCAGTTTGAGTTTATTCACTTTGAAACAAACAGCAGTATTGTATTACTATATTTTCAACTACCACCACAACCACCACCACCAGGGTGCTTGGTACCTGTGTGGTTGAACCACAGGATTGAGCTGTACTATTCAGATTGTAGTGCCAAAGTCCATATGGTATCTGATTCTCCTGTGAAGCGGGATTGAGCTATACCCCTCGGGTTATAAAGTTTAAGCCTAGATGGTGTCTGGCTCTCGTATCAACCGGGATTGAGCTGTACTGTTTGGGTTGTCACATGAAAGTCTGGATGGTCCTCCTGAAAACCAATGTAAAATTACCCTGGCCCACAAGGGTATATTATATAACTAACTCATATAATTTCAGCATATTCTATTTAACTATTCTAATCAGTAGTATTGTCTATTATTCTTAAAATTTAGGGGATAAAAGTTCGAGTTAAGTTTACTTCTATTTTTAGTTCAACTAGTATCCAACTAAGATTGAGATAGTTTAATTTTACCCAAGAAAACGTTCAGTAGTCATTTAAGAAATGATGTTGGCGATAATATAATACGAATATTCTTGGAATCTACTACATGAATTAACTTGCTGAAATGATGACAAAGTGTTGAAATTTGAAATAATGAAAATAGCTTTATTGTAAGAGAGTGAGTGAACAATCCAATAGTATTGAAAAACTTAAACAGTTCCTGAAGTTCTAATGAGAAACAGTGATCGGTAGAGTTCAACCAGGTCTGTTGTGAGATAATAACTCACTGGTGACAATGGTGGATGTGTTGCTCAATTTCATAGATTAGTTGAAGTTAGACATTAACACAGTTGCATACCGGCTAGCTCAGTGGTTCAGAGGTTAAGAGTTTGAGCGCGAGATCAATTGACCGTATGTTGGAATCTTACAAGGTGGGGTCGTGCATACGCACTACTGAGGAGTTTCACAATAGGACTAAACGGTCGTCCAGTGCTTCCAGGTTTTCCATGGTGCTCTAGTTACGATTGACTCATGATGTCAACTATTAAACAATATTTGTTGAAAGAAATTTTGCCTTCCTGTTTGATTCACTTGAAAGGAAATATGAACAACATGTGTGACTGTGAAAATACTACACTCTCCACAAATTCCCCATACTGACAACAATCATGTGCTAACTAATGATTAGCTTCAAGATGTAATGCATAGAGTCCTAGTGAGAAACCGTGACCAGTGGAATCTAATCGATGTCAAGTATAAGACAGATATCCACTGCAGACAATAGATCAAAGGTTACTCAAGACCATGGATTGATTGAAATGAGAGAATAACACTGTTGGATACCGGCCTAGTAGTTTAAAGGTTAGGCGTTCACGCATGAGATATGAAGCTCTGGGTTCGAGTCCTGCGTTCTCACTGCTGAGTGGTCACACACTAGGGTTAGACGGTCGTCCTGTGCTTTATGGTTTTCGTTGGCAGTCTATCTTAGATTGATTAGTGATTTCAACTGGGAAGAAACATTTTAATTGTTATTTAATGCAATCTGTTGAAAATAGGTCATCATTTAATCATTAAAACAAATGAATAAGGTCAGGTCTATTAAGAAAAGATAAGAAGCTTGTTTCATTACAACAAAAGTCCAAATATGTTATCACTGATTTGTTCAGATTTTAATCAACCTCCTGATGGATTGAAATATTCCTTATTGATTGATCTTTAATGATAACCAAGGTTATTCCAATCCTATCCTTTAATGCTGATCAAATTCTATCTATGAAATTTCACTTTAACCACTCGTCTAAGTGATTCGATATTATGTACACTATACTGAGATGTTATTTCAGTGGAAATAGTTGGTTGATTGTTGTAGCTTGATCAATAGAATTAGGTCAGTACTTAAGGGATGAAAAAGCATAAACTTGATCAATAGACGGTAAATAGTTCATTCTAAATATAGAATAAGTGGATCACAGTACATTTATAGATAATCGTACGTCTTGTTAAAGTTGTCAACTGTGTTAATTGTAGTAGCTCTTGCTAACTGTGTAATTTTATAGTTGAATTCATGAGTCAATTGAAGCTAGACCACCATGGAAAACCTGGAAGCACTAGACGGCCGTTTCGTCCTAGAGTAGCACCCCTCAGCAGTGTACATCCACGACCCCGCCTTGCGAGATTACAAACCAGGAACTAACAGTCCCCCGCGTGAACACTCAACCTCTACACCACTGAGCCGTCATCCAACCGTGTTAATGTCTAGCTTCAAATAGTGTACGAAATCGAGCAACACATTCACCATTGTCATCAGTGAGTCACTATCTCACAACAGACCCGATTGAACTCTACTGGTCACTGCTTCTCACTAGAAATCCAGGAAATACCTCTTGAAACCAGTCACTAGTGGGTGTACGACGATTATTATCAGAAGGGATTTTGTGGTGGTTTAAGTAATTTTAAAGTTGAATTCATGAGTCAATTGAAGCTATCCCATCATGGAAAACCTGGAAGCACTGAACGGTCATTTCGTTCTATTGTGCGACTTCGCATCATTGCGTATCCACGATCTCTCCCGGCGAGATTATCTTGAATTATTTTAAATTTAATGTTAACCGTTCAGTTTACAATCCAAATGTATCTCAGAAACAGTTAGGTTCATCATGAATACAATAGAATAGTTGATTACAGTTGTTATGAATAGTTTTTATGAAAGAAGTTGGCTAGTGTCCTATCAAAATATCTCAATAAAACTAGATTATTTCAACACTTAGAGGTTTCTACCTCCAATTCGTCTCTTTTATTCATTAAGTCTTATAGTCACTGTTGGTTATAATTGATTTAAAAAGTGTGGACAATTCAAATGACCCTGAACAGAGTATCGAACGATTACAAACATAAAATAAGTGCATCAGGTAAAAAATGGTATGAATATTTTTTGGCAATCAGCTTTTTTTTGATTGAGATCATAAACCGATTGGTTTTGGACCACCGCTGGAAAACTGGAAGTACCGGACGGCCGTTTCGTCTTATTGTGAGACTCCTCCGTTGCATTGAGCATCCATGATCTCGCTCGCGGGATTAGAACCCAGGGCATTCAGTCTCTCTAACCTGTCGACCACTGAGCTGGCCGGTATTCAATGGTGTTAGTGTCTAGCATCAACCAGTCCACGAAATTACGCGACCAACTTCCACTATACTGAGGTAGATACCTGTCTCTACCCGACACGGATTAGCTCCACTGGTCATGGCTAGTCACTGGAGCTCCGAGAATTCCCTCATGAAGCTAGTCGCCAGTGAGCACATGTTAATTATCAATATAGGAGTTGTGGAGATTATCAAGTTTTTTTTATTGAGATCATGAACCGAGCGAGCGGGATCGTGGACGCGCACTGATGAGAAGTCACACAATAGAACGAAACGGCCGTCCAGTGCTTCCAGGTTTCCAACGGTGGTCTCACATCGATCGGTTCATGATCTCAATCAAAAAAACCTAGTAATCTCCACAACCTCTATACTGATAACACCTATTTTGTAGTAAACTTGTAACAAACTGTCATGTTGTCTACTGTCAACATATCTAAAGTCTTTATAAACAAAGTATCTTGATGTTATTTTCTGTATGTGCTGTGACATACAGTGTCCGAAATCCGATACTGATACACATTGGGCTACATGTTAACCCTCTCCCCCCCTAAAACACCATTTGGGCAAGAGTGAACAAGAAAGTGTATTGAGCTACCAAATAAAACGCACAAATACTCATTTTTATGTCTATCACTCTAATCATTAAGAAACTGAATCCTTTCTTATCGTTTCGTTGACTTCTGTTTATTAACGATTGACCTTCTCATTATTGATTCTTTATATCACCATGGAAATTATTTATTTATCATTAAATTATTAATATAGAATCTTCAATACGAACGTCAAGGCAGTTCTATTGTATGGGGCTGAAACTTGGAGAACTACAACAACCACAATCAAGAAAGTACAAGTATTTATAAATAGCTGTCTAGGCAAGATACTCAACATCCATTGGCGGATACCATCAGCAATAGCCTTTTGTGGAAGAGAACAAACCAACTTCCAGCTGAAGAAGAAATTAGGAAAAGACTATGGAAATGGATAGGACATACACTACGCAAATCATCAAACTGCATCACGAGACAAGCCCTAACTTGGAATCCTGAAGGGAAGCAGAAAAGAGGAAGGCCAAAGAACACATTACGTCGGATAATAGAAGCAGATATGAAAAGGATGAATTACAACTGGAAGGAGCTGGAAAGGATTGCCCAGGATAGGGTTGGATGGAGTATGCTGATGAGCGGCCTATGCTTCTTCACGAGGATTAACAGGCGTAATTAAAGTAAGTATTAATATAGAATGAACTTACAGCAATTTGAAGTGCAATTTGATTCATCCATGGTATATATAAATACATTTGATACCAACGTGATATTATACCAGATACAAAAAATCCCAATAAAAATGATATAGGTATATCACCTTTAGTTCGAACACAGAATTCAACAATTTCTTCAAAAATTCTATAAAAAAGATTAATAATAAATAAGAAAGATGATTCAGTTGTTAAGTATGTGATGACATGTTAACTATGGATAAGACTATCATTTATGGATGAGTTTCGAGTGATTGAAAAGTGACCTTGACGATGTTCATCTACTTGTTAGGGTTATATTGTGAACAGGGAAACAAGAAGATCTGATAAACTACGAAAGTTATTTTTGCAAGACGTTACTTCAGTTAATTCAAAGCTTGTAAAATACTGACATTTATTTTTGTCCCTAATCTATTCTACAGAACATAAGCTTTCGTTCGATGTATGATTCATTGCCATAACCGCTTTTTTGTTCCGAAGCTATTGTAATTTAAGCATCATATTTTGCACCCTATTTTCTACTCTTATTCCCAGCTTTAGACATAATTGTATTTTTCCTAATTATTGTACGTTGTGGTCGGGTTAGTCATCTATTTATTCATGTCCTCTTTTTACACTGATCTGAAATTGGGAACCAGATAGAAATCGAGAATAAATCGAGTAGTGTTCCAGTTGACTTGTCTTCTCTCGCGTGCTTGTCAGCCAATCAATCAGGTGATAGGATAGTTTTCGTCTCTCTACCCTACTTCGAACTCACGCGTACTGGCCTCAAGGTTAGGTCAGTCAGTCTATCGCGCCAAGGTCTTAATCTGGATTAGATAAGTATCCTCAGCACCAAAAGTGGGTAGACAGACCAAAGGACATAACAGATTATTTGAACATTATATATTAGTGTGAGGAATTAGGATCAGGATCTACAGTTTGATGCTGTGGTTAAGAATCAGTTATAGTTCTCATCACGAACTGACAAAATGATATTCAACTAAATGAGTAAATGGATTTCATACCGAAATTCAAGATCTGCTATCTTAAATCTGATTGTTTCATTCATAAATTGTAGTCTCGTCAAGTATCTCAAAGATTTGTTCATCAAAAAGATAAAAAAATATTACTGTAAAACTGAAATAGATTCCTTGATCTAATTTAATTTTAAATTGTATTGTAATATGTTCAAAATACGGTCAATTAATAAGACAAACAAGAGATACTTTTTTTCAAATGAACATAAAGTATAAGCAGCAAACCCAAGGTCCGAAGGTGAAGTCGTATTGCTGACTGTATAGAGGTGTGACGGCAGTAAGGTGTTTCCTTCAGACAACCAGCATGACAGCGATGCTGCCTTCTCACAAGGTCGACCATAAAAATGCAAACCTCACCTTATCCCACGTATATCCGTCTCCGGAGGTAAGGTCTCAACAAGTACGGAGCTAACATGAAAATTACTCACAAGAAGGTTGTGTGTGACCTACCCCGGGCAGTTATCGTTTTGGTACTGAGGTCACGCTCTCAGGTCATTAAGACCACTTTTAGTCCAATTTTCTGTTCAATGTATAATTCATCACAATCGATACAACCTAATCTGTAGACATAATTTTGTACGAATCTGAAACCTAGGTCCAGGGTTTCCTGTTGACTACCTCCAACCACTATCACATTTTAACATAGTGCATATAATGTCGAGTCACCTAGATTGATGGTCACAGTACAACTTGGTTGGCATGATTCAGCTGGTTACTTTCTTTGGGCTATGTTAACTCAATCTAATATAAATTTGTTCCAAAATGATTTGTTAATTAATAACTCTATCAACAGTACGAGTGACTTGTCATAAACAACATTGGATGATGGTCATTGTATACAACAGGTTGACAAAAGTTGGAAAACTCACTCTAAATTGCTGTCTGTGAGATCGGTGTATTATAGTATTTTCTAGAAGTGCCCGATGTTATATTATCTCATCTACTGAATTAACTGTACTAACTTCCAATGATATTGCTTTTAATAAAATAGAGTCCCACACTTCGCATATGGATTGATTAACAGTACAGTGAAATAATATATTATCAGTGATAACAGTGTATACAGCTTATCTTGGACATGAATTCGACTGAAGGAATGTCAACATTCTGGATAAGAGATACTATAAGAATGTTAGATAATGTTTAGGAACATGTCACCTGAATCATTTAGTTACCAACAGGTACACAGACTTATGCTCAATCCATGGACCCATAGGTAAGAGGTTAATAAATGGCAGGGTCAGAGATCGACCAACAGAGACAAACAACGTGAATGTAAGTACAAACGAAGCGCTAACACGACACTGTATGCAGAGATCGAACCATTGAGGGTGTGTGGTTTAAATTAGATGCGATTCTAAATTCAACTAATTCACAGTAATGTGCAACCATTTTCCATTGCTTCGGGTGAATAACTGTCTCCCATAAGATATGTTTATGCTTTACTGGTCACAGCTTCTCATTAGAACTCACGAAATTTTCTCTTTAAGCTAGTCACTAGTTAGCACATGATAATTATCAATGTGAGATTTTGGAAAATTTAAGAGTTAAACTTGTACACCACTGAATCCTGGCTTAGTGTTCGCACATAAAATCGAATGCCCTGGGTTCGAGTCCTTCTGCGGGGTCACGGATGGTCACTGAAAATCTCCGTTCTAGACGAAGAAGACTCTGGAATAAGTTTGTCCATAATGACAACACGGGCTGTACAATTAAATCATTTACTTCAGAGGACGTATCACTACCTAAAACATTCACCTGAATTGTAAATGTTTTCCATGATTTCAAAATCTAAAGTACACTAATCGATCGATTAACCTCTTCCCTAAAAAACTAAATTCTTTTTTCATGTTTTAACAATACTACTTACAATGGTTGATATCATGAGTTAATTGAAGCTAAATCGCCATGGAAAACCTGGAAGCACTGGACGGCTGTTTCGTCCTATTAAGGGATTCCTCAGCAGTGCGCATCCACGATCCCACCTCGCGTGATTCGAACTCAGGACTTAACAGTCTCACACTCGAATGTTTAACCTCTAGTTCCTTTGATGATTTTCATTATAATTATGAGTTGATATAATAATAATAATAATAATAATAATAATAATAATAATAATAATAATAATAATGATACTTACACTTTTTGCTTGTCATTCATTGCAAACCGATAAGATAGATTTAAAACATAATAAGCTGAGATGTAGATTAATAAGTCAACCCATACCAATTTGTACAAACTCCCTTTCCATCTGAAATGATTAATTAATGTGAAAAGTGTTATTTTAGTATATAAAATATGAACAAATAGTTTATTTGAACTTAAGGGTTAATAAGACCACAGAATTCAACTCTTTATTTATAGACAATATAAGTAAATTAATTGTATTCCGATTAACTGGATGACAATCGACAGTATCGTATTACGTAGTCTATAAAGCTAATCGGCTAGGATTTTACTTATATCAACAGTCCTATCAACTTGAATATATGTTACTCTGAACCTAATGTTATCCGACTAAAAGACACTCATCTGATTGCCTCCAAATGCCCTGGTACGACCGAGAGTGAGGAGAGTCCGCTCTGTCTCTCGAAATGCTCTCACATGACCACGCGTACATAGTTTCTGCCAAAGAAGTCCTACTCACTGCCTTCTCGTAACGGGGGTGTTGTTTACGTAAATGGGGGGACGGAAAGCTAATGTCCAGCTCTTTAACCAGGTTGGTGGACATGGAAATTCCACCTAGGGGAGGGGACTTGAGAAACTCTGATTCCAAACCAATGGTGTACATGGGCTCCAGTATCTTGATGGAACAAACGGCTTATGAACCAATTGTTGTTCACTGGCTGCGATGGGACTGCATCTCCTTACGTTGCTCCACTGCCTTGTGGATTAGATCCTTAGGTCGAAGGCTCAGAAAGTGGCCCTCTTAGACAACCACCTGCTTCGGTTTGGGCACCCGAGCAGTATCACAGCCCTCACACATATCGAATGAGTTTTGCGTGACTCACATGTATTTGGTGCCTCCTTTTACCGACATCTATGTTTTAAAATAAATAAATAAATAACACTCATCTGATTATTTCGATGGTATTGTTTTATGGTTGTAGTATTGATTTAGTGGGTTGAAATCTTTGAAAGTATTTCAACTTTGATGTAAATCTTCTTAGTTGTATAAGCGATCTATATCGAAAATATTGAATCTAACCTTACAACTAATAACCTAGTGATTATTCAGTATGCTTGAACTACTTCGAAAGCACTTGTGGTCAAAAATCAACTGACATAAGAGTAGGTAGGAAAAAAGCTAGGGTGAAGCAAACCAAGAAGTGGGATCAGTCCATGAAGACACTGATTATTGAACTGAGCCATGTAGGTACGTGCACACCAAACAGTCAGGGTCTGTGTGATTATCGTAACCAGTGGTAGGAGTTTTATTGTTCATGATTGTTTGCGATAGGGCAGGTGTATTCACGATTTTTCTTCATGTAGATCCTAATTTTCTAAATTCTTCATAAATCTTTTATTATTTCACTAGTTTATACTTTTATGAATCGTATCTTCGACGCTTAATATCTTCGATTACCATTAGTGCTGTTACTAATTATACTACTCTGGGATTCGCCAGTAGGATATGGTTAATTAAACCACTGTACACATGTGCTAAGTTCTATATTGTATTTGAGTGACTAGCTAGCAAATTAAACGTGTTATCAATCCCTGTAGATCATATATGTAACGTTCGCTACTTGATTAACGTAGAATATGATATACAACTAACGGCAGTCAAATGCATAAAACTCTACAGTCACAAAATCAGAAGGCAGAAGAAGTCAGAAGTTGTTGTTGAGTGAGAATCAAAAATATACAGAAAATCATTAGTACTTATAGATAATAGCTTTAGCTATAACATCATTATAATCCAGTCAATCCACAAGGAAACAAGTTAGGCTACCTTCCAATCATAGCATGTCACGTTGATATTCTAGAAAATTGTATCCGGTTCTGATTGAGTGTAAACTCTTAGGTTCCTCTAGGATCTCTGAAGGCTCCGTGATGTTTGTCGGAGCCATCTCAACAATATTTAACTGTCAAAGATGTTAGAGATTGCGTTTCGTTTACACTTAAAAATTCAATATGACTTTTGCTCGAAGTAATTTACTAGTTTAGTCAATTTATTCTTTATTTATTTAAACACATAAACATTGGTACAACGAGGCACCAACTATATATGCTCCACATAAATTATTCGATTTATGTGAGGGCTGGGATACTGTCCGGTTGTCCAAACTGAAGCTGGTGGTTTTTTAGGAGACCACACCGTGAGCCTTCGACCTAAACGTCTGATTCACAAGACAGTGGAGCAATTATAGTCGGTCACCAATAGTTGGTTCATACGCCATTCGTTCCTTCAGGATACTGGAGCACATGTGCACAGCTGGTTTGGAATCAGTGTTTCCCAACTCCCCCAAGGTGAACTCTCCGTGTTCATCAACCCGGTTAAAGCGCTGAACATTCTCTCTCAATTTCGTAAACAACAGTAATGCCACGAAAAGGCAGTGAGTTGGACTTCTCTAGAAATACTTGTATGCACGTGTCCATGTGAGAGAATTAGGAGAAGGAGAGCTGACTCTCTCCACCCTCGGCCGTACCAGGACATTTGAGGACACTACTAAAGAGTACTTTAAATCAATACACTTGAAAATTTATCAGTTATTGAGATAAATGAACCACATATGTATAAGTAATTCATTTATGCTGTCATGTAAATAAACTGCCTACACTAATAAATAAGTATACTCATACATAATGCTAGTCTGTGTGTGTATGAACTTGAATATAATGGTAGAATCGATGAACTAAATACGAAAAAATTTGAATCGATTAACTTTAATGTTACAAAGATGAACTGATAACATAGAGATTCTGATGATCATCAAGATGACAACTTCATACATTGTCTCTCGAAATGCTCTCACATGGCCACGCGTATATAGCCTCTGTCAGGGTGAGGGTGTTGTTTACGAAATTGAGAGGACGAAGAGCGAATATCCCGATATTTAATCAGGTTGGTGGACATAGAGAGCCTACCTACGGGAGTTAGAAATCCCTGATTCCAAACCAATCGTACACATGGGTTCGAGGATCTTGAAGGAAAAAATGCAGTATGAACCAATTATTGATAATCGTCTACAATGGGACTGAATCTTTTTACGTCGCTCCACTGTCTTGTGAATCAGATCTTTAGGTCGAAAACTCCGGGTGTGGCCCCTTATGAAAACCACCTGCCTCGGTATGGGCACCCGGGCAGTATCACAGCCCTCACACATATCGAATGAGTTTTGTGTGGTGCATATGTATTTGGTGCCTCGTTGTACCAATATCTATATGTTGACATAAATAAATAAAATAATAGTGAGCAAACAGCTCAGCCTTCAACCTATCCAGGGGCCAATTCAAGAGTAATCATGAAGCGTGTGGATTATAGCTGAATATATAAATTCCTATTCGCCAATTTGGTTCCAGTGAAAACCTTCAGAGTCTTAAGGAAATACGAATATACCACAAAGGTAAACAAGCTATGATTGAAAATGTGAGTACAGGAAAATATTCATCCATTAAATATATGTAGTAAATGAACTCAAACTATTAGGTATTAATTTATTCATTTTGTTGATGTAATTATTAACCGGTATGTGAAAACACAGTCTCCAGCAAGTCTTACTAAAGTAATTTGGACTTAAAAAGTGTATGGTTCATTCTGTATCTATGGACACCGATTAATTATAGATTGGATGGCTTGAGTATCATTTCACAATGTCATCCTCATCCGTGAAACGTTTTTTATCCAGGCAACAGATCCACACTATCATCACGAACTTCAATCACGGCTTTTTCTAGGATTGCTGATAACTAGTGGCAATACACTGTTACTAATACGAGGATTCAGTAACGTAAAGTGATGATAATTCAACTGATGCCATCATCTTGAAACACCGAGTTCGGTGGCTTACATATATACTACGAATATTATTACAGCGAATTCCACCTTGTGTATTATTTGCTGAGGCTGGGGGCTAGTTAAAAAAGAGCAGTAGCCGGTTTACCATACAATGCTGGGTTATGAGATAAAGTTATGCATGACTGAAATCTTTCAGTCCTTCACAATTCTCTAGTTGACGTCCTAGAGACAGTGCAACTCACTGTCTTGAGACGTTACTAAAATTCGCTCAGAATAGAAGGTAGTAATGATTCTTCAAAGATTTTCTTTTCCTTTCTTTATATAAGTGAGAGGAACTTATTTAAATGAAAAAACCTTTCTGGTTGTATTTTTCTTAACTGAACAAATTGTTCCATTATTTTTTCATACAGTCATTCACTTATTTTGATTAAGATCATGAATCGATCGATGTTAGACCACCATTGAAAACTTAGTAGCCCTAGTGTGGGATGACTCAGCAGTGGGCATCCAGGATCATGTACACGGGTTTCGAACCCAGGACATTCGACCTCCTGCGCGAACGCTTAACACCTAAACCACTGAGTTGGCCGGCATTCACCAGTGTTAGTGTCTAACATCAACTAATCCACGAAATCGCGCGACCATCTTTCAGTGTATGAGGTAAATTCCTATTTCCATCTAATATGGATAGTTTATGATTATACCTATTGTCCTTACCCTATCCTTTCAAAGTCCCAATTTCTTATCATTATGATGACTATTTTTACCATTATATATTTTCATCGTTGAAATCATGAGTCGATCTCAGTTAGAATACATTCTAGTATGGGACTCTTCAGCGATGAGCACTCATGATCTTTCACTTGAGATTTGTTTAAATAAATATATAGATAAAACCATGAATACATTGAACAATGGTTAATTCCTTGAACACTTTTTGTAAGGGGAACTAATAAGTAATATTTTCGACTTATACTTACTTTGTAAGCAGTGATGGACAGTGGCTAGCAGTGGAATCCAGGACGCGCGTTTCTTCCTATTCGGGACTCGTCATCAGGATGTACCTACATCTCCGAGTTGATGTTCAATCTGGGACTCGAACTCAGTACCATCCGCTTTAAACGTCATCGCGTTATCCACTTAGCTACTGAGTACTGATAGTAGGATGAAACGCGCGTCCTGGATTCCACTGCTAACCACTATCCATCATTGCTTACAAATAACTTGTGAATTAAGGTAATATCAAGGCATACGCACAGTATGCACATATGCCAATAACAAACTGATCAATTGCAGTGTTAAACCTCAATAGGAAGATACAAACTAAACAATACCAAGTGAATTATACTTACTTTTTAAGAATTTTTAATAAAACAGAAGCACCTCTCCCATCAGATAATTCATCTGCATAAGCAGTTGGCATTATATGAATGTATGTATGTGTGTGGTTGAGTTGCTGGGTGGGTGGGTGGTTGGGTAGTTGGTTGGTTAGTGAAATTGTTGTTATGACTTAATAAACTATTAAATTCCTATCTAACATTTCTATTTGATTATGATTATTATTGATCATCATGTAACTAAGTGATCTGATAAAATTACCATTTATATATTCAACTGTTTATGAATTATTCATTATGAAATTGTCTATTCAGTTTTTTTTTAGTACTAAGAGGGACATGTTGAATGTTATTGTTTTTGTTTATTTGTTCAAAAAATATTATAACCTTTGTCTTTATGGATGTGTGTGTGTGTTGGTGTGTGTTTCTAGGTTCCTACTTATTCAAGAGTGTTGTATCTTATTTGTGTATGATTATTTATGTATGTTTAAAGAACTGAACGAAAATTTGATTGATTCATTGTTTTTAGGATGGATACAAAATGTGTGTTTAATGAAGAAAGGAATAGAGAAGTTTAATGATTGAAGGATATCGTTTTACTGAATTCAAAATTTATAGAGTACTAATATTGCCCTCAAATACTGTAGTACGGCCGAGGATGGAGAAAGTCAACTCTAACCTCTTCAAATGCTCTCACATGGTCACGCGTATATAGTGTAGTGGCCCATGGATCTGACTCTAAGAAGATTGTTATGATTGATTGTTATTGGAATATAGATGTCACCTATTCTCGCATATAATCATCGACTTAAATCGCATTAGTCAGTAACGGAATTAAATAAGTCATATAACGAGAATGGAATAGGGAGAAGAGGAACGACGCAGAGTGAAAATGTCTGGTAAGCCAACTCCCATTTAACCAAGCGTTAATCAATATTTATAGTTACATAAAAGTAAGTTACAGACATGTGATGAGTAATTGGATAAGAAATGTACACACACCTATGTGCTCATATAAAAATAGTCAAGATTGATAAGCGAATAAATAACAAGGTTAGAATGTGACTCAAGTAGAATGAATAGAATGGGCTGTCTGAAACCTAGAATAAGGTATATGGACTTAACATAATAACCGACACTACAATAGCCTCTGACAGGGAAGTCCTACTCACTGCCTTCTCGTGGCGGGGGTGTTGTTTACGACATTGAGAGGATGAGAAGCGGATGTTTAACGCTTTAACCGACCTAGTGGATATAAAGGATTCACCTAGGGGATTTGGAAAACTTAAATTCCAAACCAATGGTGTACATGGGTTCCAGGCTCTTGAAGGAAAAAATAGAGTATGAACCAATTCTTGGTGATCGGCTACAATGGGACTGCATCTTTTTACGTTGCTCCACTGCCTTGCGAATCAGAACTTTAGCTCCAAGGCTCCGAGTGTTGCCTCGTAAGAAAACCATCTACTTCATTCTGGGCACTCGGACGGTAACCCAGCGTTCACATGAATTGAATCATTTTTGTGGAGCATATCTATTCGGTGCCTCATTGTACCATTTAGTTTTATGCCCACCTTATTCTATACATTATAACCTTTTGTTTAATGCATAAATTACTGTCATATTATCGTCTGCTATGAAATTAATGTAATTAAAACATGACTTTTGTATCCTATTTTTGCAACTCTAACGACTTTATTTGAACTTAAAGGTATTCTTCTCATTTCTTGTATGGTGTGGTTTGTTGGTCAGATATTTATTCATGTACATCACGAATAATCGAGAGAAACAGCTCTAGCTAAATCGTATTGTTTACGCCTGCTAGGCTATTCGGTCATAAGTCAGTCGGGAAATAGGTTCTTCTCTCTGCCCTCAATGTCGTTTAGTCAAAAATCGGACTCACATATGAGGAGTTTCAAATAACCTATCATTTCATGACCGTAAACTTGACCGAGACAACTCTCTCTTTTCCTGAATAGACCAGTGGGCCGATAGATCAAGGTCGTAAAACTGGGCTTCTAATTTTTGATATTGACGAAAACGCTTCGTTAAAGAGACAGGTTTTATTGAATTCAGCTTAAGTATCTTACGTTTGAAATAAAACAACATATTGTTGCACGTGTTCTTTTTGTCTCCTAAGGCAATAGGAAACCCTTTTGAATACCTCCAACCAACATTGTATCTCAACATAGTGCACGCAATGTCGAGTCAACGAGAGTGGTGGCCACATTGCAACTTGGTCGACAGAATTTGATCTGCACTCAGAAGGAACTGACATACATGACATTGATCACCATCCAATGATCAATCAATTGTAAATTGATCAACAGTAAATCCATGGCTGAAACCTATGTCTGGCTAGAAATACCGGTGAAAATTTGAATTCATGAAAATGCTCCACAAATTATTCTTTTTTTCAGCTTCATTTTCTAATAAAAATGGCCTGTTTTATTAGAGTGGGAAGGTTATGGATAGGATGACCCTACCAAGGTAGATAACTGTTGAAAACCATAAAGGACTGGATAGCTTTTCCTTCCTAGTTTAAGACTTCTACATACAAGACACTGACTGGGATTGAGCCCAGAAACTTTAGGTGTCATCATAAGAGCTTAACCTGTAAACCAATGAGGTGATTTTTAATAGTTTTCATGTCTATCAATCGACGAAATATGCTTTCGCTTGTGACTTCACCTCATTTTTTAAGGGTTCGAAATGGCTACTTTTGTGCAATTCAGTAGTTGAAGTAATGTAATCTAAATTACCAGTCAACTACGTAGGTTATGTAAAGTTCAAGTGAGAGTGAAATCCATTATGATGCTTATGAATGAAAAATCTACAAATCTTTAATTTTTTTTTAGTGTCTGAATGTGCCTTAATCAGCACTTTCAACTTTGTCCCATGAAAGATTAACTTATGTGTCTGGCTGAAATGTCTCTATCGGAAATATTATACAGTGCTTCTGTAATTAAGTTATAAAATACACTAGCAATGGAATAAAACATTTCGAAATAGGGTTTACACGTCAAATTTACAAAGAGAACTAATGGAAGGACGAGTATTTTACCGAAAACAGATGATAGAGTTCGGTGTCCAGATTGGATTATGTCATCTTAGAATATGTAGATGATATAGTTCTATTCTGTGAAGACTCGGAAAAAAACGTAGTCCTCGCATAACCCCGGGAAAAAAAACACAAGGATGTTTAGTATGTGACTTATTCCCCCTAAATGTAAAATATTACTTCACGGTTGGATTAATGATAGAGAGTAAAGTAAGCGAATCGACCACTTCACTTATCTTGGATGTCAGGACAACCCTGATGAATTGGTGTCTAACGATATTTTGGCTTACACCACTATTAGTGTAGTTGAGGTGTTAAACTAACTCTCAAAGCACGAGTATATTCCCCAAGAATTCAATCTGCTTTAAATGGTATCTACAAAAGTCTGTCCCTAAAAATAGATAATATAAGTGGGTTATTAATAATTAATCGTAGACGTCATGTATACTGTTTGTGATATCAGATAAAGAGTATTAACTAAATATGACAAATAGATTGATGAGATAGTGAATTTTTATCAACCTAGTTAATTAAAACATACTTAACTTGCCATCATTTATCTCCTATCTCAATACACAATCATATCTGGTTCCCTCAAGTCATTTACTATTGGGACCATTGAGTGAATAAATGTGAGGTGAGACAAGGAGTAATAACTAAATATGACAAATAGATTGATGAGATGGTGAATTTTCGTCAACCGAGTTCATTGAGACATCCTTAACGCGTCATCATCTACCTTCTACCTCAATCCATAATGATATTTGGTGTGGATTGAAAGAAGTAACATCGATTCCTCAAATCATTTTGTGAGGACTATCCACGAGTTAACTCAAGGAAGCTCATCTTTCAGAAGAATGTTCCAGAATCCTGGTTGAGTGAATGTGAGTAACATTGATTCCTCAAAATCATTTACTATTCGTCTATACCATATAGTTAAATAAGGATTACATAAAAGAATCATTACCTATACTACTTATACTATTCTTGTATTTTCTTATGCTGTTACAATCTACTCACTTAAACCGATATACATTTACTTTATATTGAACAATTGAACAATCGAATTCATTCAAACAAACAAACAAAAAGAAAGTGGCCCAAAATCAATGACTTACTTTTTTAAAATAATTAAAAATACTAATGTACCTTGTCCATTAGATATATCAACCAGATAAGATGATAACATACTATTGATTATTGATTATAATAATGACGTAATAATAATAACTATTATTGTTACTAATCCATGTCTCATAGATACTTTCAATGTGCCATTTATATTTTTGCTTAGTTACTAATAGATTATTATTACTGTTGAATTCAAATAATGAATAACTATTTCTATTCAATGTTTCGATTATTTTTGTTACTGTGGTTATTGTTCAACAATCAACAACCCAAATTATAAAAGACAGAGAAATTATTAATAAAATTTCCAGATTGTTTAAAATGAATAATAAATATAGATCATCTTTTATTGTTGCTGGGGTTGTGGTTGTGTGTGTAATGTTATCAACAAGTTACCTAAAAATTTTTTTGTTTTGTTTGTTTGTTGCTAGGTAGGTGTACTTTATCATTCATCTTTAATTTTATACTTTTTTTAATTGATTTATGAGTCATATTAGTTCATTATTATGTAATCGATCAATATAACTTAAGGATAGTGACCTTAATAATGTTCGATAATCAATAAATTCAATATTTAATAGATGCTGTTTTTTTTAAAAAATTTGCACTTAATTGATTCGTGCACATTATACACTGATTAGCTGTTGAATAAATAAAGGTTGATCAAGTTATGTTGTTATGCCTAGTAACTAATTGGAAAATCATTGTCAGAGTTCTAGTGAGAAGCCATGATCAGTGGAGCTAATCCGTGTCGGGTAGAGACAGGTATCTACCTCAGTATAATGGAAGATGGTCGCGCAAATTCGTGGATTGGTTGAGGTCGGATATTAACATCATTGGATGTCGGACAGTTCAGTGGTCTAGTGGGTTGAGCATTCACGCGTGAGATTGAAGGTTATGGATTCGAGTCCCACTAGCGGGATCTTGGATGAGCACTGCTTAGGAGTCCCACAATAAGAAGAAACGGCCGTCCAGTGTTTCGAGGTTTCTAATGGTGGTCGGTTCTTGATCACGATCAATAGTTCATGTGGATTTATTTTTTCTGAATTTGGGTTATCATTATTTTATGTTTCTAATGGACATTTATGATGAACTTTTAACTAAGATAACATAGATGGCCAGTGATTTTATTGTTTTAAACTGATTTGTAACAAAAATACCCACTTTATATTTAACTAGTGACTATTTAACCAAATAAAATGTACTTTCAATATGTAAAATTAAATAGAAGATTTAGTGGGTATTTTGAAGTGCGCTTAATGTTGAATG